ACAGGTGAGTATATACAGCAACTCCTTTTAATGTAGTTACTGACCCAGTAGTTACAATTGGACTAAACCTAGTATTGTGGGTGAAGCAGAAGCAGGCTCACAACAGTTAATAGAAAACAGGCTAACCCAAAACTCACCAAGTTCCTGTTCCATTTGTTAATGATTTAAAGTTAAGACTTTTGATTAACCAAATTCAAAAGGAACAGATACCTCCATTGCACAAGATGCACCAGCAAAATATGAATGTATGGCAGCCTTATTTTACAGCAAGACAAATTTACGTATTTATTCTTCAGAGGCCATTTAATGCCATTTTGTTCTTTGTAGACTGAATGAATTGACAACACATTTTTGGGATTAGTGACTCAGAAGCCAAGTGTCCAGACCTTCAGCAGAAATTGCTGCTAGAATGCACCAAAGAACTCTGAAGAGAGGCTGTGTCCCTGCTGAAGTGATGTCTGGTTCCAGGACAGCATTTTCACTGATGAAAGAGCAACGAACAAAAACGAAAACAAATATTTCTCAGGGCTATCCAGCTTAGCTACACCAAATGGTTTTGTTGAGTGTGACTGGTATCAATGCTTGATCACTAAGCATTTGCTTCCACAATAACCAAACCAAAAAATTATCTTCTGTCTTCTGCCTCCACAGTATTCTCCAGGGTGACCTATGAAACCAGTACAAACTATAGTGATATCTGAAAAAGACTCTTGACACTTCCTGAAGCAGCCTGGAATGAAGGTCAAAGCACTACCAAGCTGCAGAGAGAACTACACATCAGGACTTCAGGTAGGTTGTCAAGATTTGGTTTACTCTAGTGTTTTTGTATGGACCAAGATACTCAAGGGGTCTTCATTAGGTCATCTCTAAAATTCTGTATTTCCTTGGTCAAATGCTGTCTGGATCCCCAAGCAGTTGAAACCTAAGATTTCCCATTCCCAATTTCTATGGAAACAGATGTCCTCTAGAAAATTGTTCCCTAGAATACCCAAAACTAAAACTCCCACTAAGCCTATCTAAGATTCAAATAATGCCATGATGGTGAATAAACATACTACTGGAAAACAATATAGAGGTGAGAACTTATTAATATAACAAAAACTATACAAATCAATGAGGAATGATATGGATTATTAATAAATGGTTTGGGAAAAATCAATTACTGATAGGAAGTAACTACACATCTCAAGGTATCACCAAAATAAACTCCAAGTTAGTAAATGTTCAGTCTTTTTAATAAAAACCATTAAATATTTTAGAAGAAAATATGGATATGAGTGGTATTATGTTTAGATCTTTCCAAAAAAAAGGAAATTAGAAATTATCAATACATTTGGCCACATAAAACTTGAGACCAAAAAATTTAGTATAAATCCAAATATAGAAAAGGAATTAACATAATTAATGTAACATTCTTAGCTTACAATTAAGGAACTACATTTTTTTTTAAATAATAAAAGGATACCATCGGTTCACAAATTAACCATGGGCACCAGAAATTTTCTACTCTTACTTGACATGGATAGTAGTTCAATTTCATCATCTTGCCTCAAGACATTTGCTCTTCAGTTCTGTGATAATTTAATCCACGGGGTCTTGATATTTTCACTGCCTTAACAGCTCATCAAATTTATCCATTAAGTGGATGACTTCATACTGATGGTACTAGGTGCATAGGAAAAAGGATATAGTTTGAAAGTCCTGGTAAAACTTTATGTGAGAATTTATGTTAACACACTTTAAAAAAAAAAAAATCAGCATTATCCATTTAAAGAAATACCCCCCAAATTAAGCACAAATCTAAACTATCATCTTACCATCACAAATTATTACAAATATGATATTAACAGTATAATCAGTTTTAACAGTAACCAACGGCTTTGATAGATAAATGAACTTTGTGATTTAGGGTAGTGAGAAGCATAGTAACAGCTCACTTTTCTTTAAAAAGGTTTATTTTTAAAAGATTTTTTAAAATAAAATCTAACCAAAGGAGATTATTCTATGTATTCTTCCAACACCTGTTTCTTCAAAGTATGTATGAGGATTTGAGATTTTATGACACCAAGAAGCAGCATGAATTTAAGAATCTTAAAATCTAACAAGGATGAAAAAGCTTACAGAAAGTGGAACCAAACCACAGCACAGGTAAGCACTTGCCCATCTGTCAACTTCTCAAACAGGAAAAAAAAATCACATTGAAAGTGAGGGTTAGTCACTCAGTCATATCCAATTCTTGCAACCCCATGGACTGTAGCTTGCCAAGCTGCTCTGTCCATGGAATTCTCCAGGCAAAAATACTGAAGTGGGTAGCCTTTCCTTTCTCCAGGGGATATTCCCAACCCAGGGATCGAACCCAGCTCTCCTGCATTGCAGGCAAATTCTTTACCATCTGAGCCACCAGGGGAGGCCAAAGTTTTTATAAATTTTAAAGTTGGCTTTCTTTGTGCTATAATAGTATAAAACACTCTTTCACCAAAGTTAAAAATTAAAAATTGTGAACCTTTTGGCCTCACATTGTTAATACTGACAACATGCTTCTACCTGGCAGGTGCTATGCTTTCTCCCCACCAGGGAACACTGCACCAGGCTTTGCAAAGTTTGATTCACAAATTTCTTAACAATCATTCAGTTATTTTGTATTTTTTATTATAGTGGATTTAGGTTTCTTTTTGAACAAAGATGCATATTTCCTAATAATATAAAAACAGAGGCTCTTTTGTTCTTCCTGAAATCCTTTAGCAACCATCTTCTTCAATCTTATTTTGTCTTCTTCCTCCATCTTCTCCAACCTCTGTGTCTTTCATCACCAAGTTCAGAATTTCTAGAAGAGCTGTACAGACATTACTAACATCTCAAGTTTACTAACAACTGGTCTTTAACATGTGAAAGGAGGCAACTGGTTGATAAAAGATGAAATACCTCTTGTGTGAAATCAACCCATAATAGCTTAAGGAATTTCACATGCTACAGGTCTTCAAGTTACCTTTTTATCCACTTAACAGATCCTTCTATGTACAGGATACTGTTAGTCTGGCACTTGATCCTACCTTGCATATTTTATCTTCTACTACTACATATAAAATAGATAAACAATGACTTACTGTATAGCACACGGAATTATACTATATCTTGTAGTGACTTATAATGAAAAGGAAGCTGAAAAAGGAATATAGATATATATAACTGAATCACTTTGCTGTACACTTAAAACTAATACATTGTAAATTAACTACACTTTGTAAATTATTTTACATTGTAAATTAACTACACTTCAACAAAAACTTAGAAAGTACAAAGATGGCAGCAGCTTTGTTAGTTTTTCACACATGTATCCCATACATGATTATGATGGAAATGACACAAATAGTTTGATCCTGAAAAATCTTATAAATTGTTATCACCCAAAAATGTTCAAACAAAAATCTGTTAATATATGTAAGCACTATTTTTGACTCATGGAATATAATTAGAAGGCAACACCATCTCCCACTACCCTTTGAAATTTTCAGAGGTTCTTCTCCCAACCCAGGTTGAAAAACCTTACTCTCAAATAATAAAAAGTCCAGAATTGCTTTTACTCACAGAGTACTTAAAAAGAATTTCCAGTCTCTAACTATAAAAACACCAAGTCAGGGTTGACCAGCTCAGCCACACTACAGGATGCCCAGGTGCAGCAGGGGTGGAAGGCAGGCATGGTCCTCGTTAGCTTCCCTGCCTAATTCCATTCTTCCTCCTTTAGCTGGCAGTTTATGGTTTCCCGACCCGCCAGGATCATAACTGCAGGGAGTAGCAGAGTTAAGTGAGATGGTTCTGGATCTGGCAGTTATTTTAAAGCTATTACTCTCAGTGGTATTTCTGTGCCCACAGCTTTCTCACCTGTAACTCCATTGACCTAAGTGTATGTAATCCACTCTGTTGACTTTTCTTCTTAGCTCTTAAGGAATCCAGAGCACCATTTCAGATTATCCTTTTCTGGGGCCCGTCCACACCTCTAAGTACCCTTCTGTATAGTATCTAACAAGGATCCCCCAACATGGCTCACTTTCTCTCTAGACCAACATTTGGTCCTCCGTAAGAATTCAAAAGGAATTTGTCAAAGCAAATGCAGAAAAGGCAGAACAGTCTCAATACATTAGCAGTTCTTCTCCCGTCCTGAGCCAGTTACAAGTTTCTTTAGATTCCAGGTTCCCTGGGCATGTTACACACCTGCTTCCAGAACTGCAGAAAATTAGATTCCTAACAAGCTCCCCAAACTAGGTTTTACAACCTCTCTATCTCTCTAGCCCTCCCTCTTTGGCAGCTCTGTAACCTTTTTCCATGAAATGCATTCTCAAATTCATAATAGATTAGCCACCCATTATATTCCTGTATGAAGCACTGATACATAAGTAAATTAAGTTTCTATTTTAAAAGACAGGAGGGAGTATAGGGGAATTACATTCTTGCCTAGAAGAATAGGGATTAATGTGACAGATAGACGGCAAGGGAGAATTTGCATAGAAATAAAAACCTCAGTTCAAATATATCAACTCTACAAAGTTGATGTCCATGCCTAAGTGTCATTTCTTTCAATCCAAAGATCAAGTCTACATTCCAACATATTTTATTAAAATATTACATAAAAAAATATGCCTATAACTAAGCAGATTGAAATAACTCAGTATTTACTTTTAAAATGAGAATGAACAAATACAAAGAATATCTAAAAATAAAACATATGTCAATTATCAAAAGTAGGTATAGGTTACTTGTAAAACTCTGGCACTATAGTAGCTCTGAACAGATAGCTTTGAGAAGTTTGAGTCCTCTTGAAGTCTATCCTTACGAAGCTAATTTGGGTGGAATGTGATTCAGAAGAAGTTGGAAAATTCACGTTCAGCATGATGAGGGGAAGAGACTGATGAATCATCTCAAAAAAGCAGCTGTAAATCTGGACAAACAGTTGAATAAAACAGCCATCTCAGCACTCTGGAAATGAACTGAATATCTACAACAAACTAAGAAGTGCTTACTCCTGGAACCCAGTTCAGGAAAGAACGTGTGAGCCTGTGGACTGCCTGTGCTGCCCCATCCTGGACATTCTCGGGCGGCAGTTCAGCCAGAGTGACGGCAGATCCTGGGAACAAGGCCTGCTGCCAGTGCCGGAAGGGACTCACCTGACTTGATGCACTGTAAAATGGTATAACCTCAGGGTTCGCTGAGGTTATAGTCCCATGTGGGGCAAACAACAGAGTTGAGAGGGATTCCACTGGAAGTTCTGGGAGGGAAGAAGACAGCCATCTGGGTTTGATAAGCACTTCTAAATACTCCGGATTTACAGGCATGCAAAGTGGAAACTGAGGCCATCCACATACTCACAGTTGCCCAAACCTGCACACATGCACAAGGGAGAAGGAAAAAGCCCAACAGAAAGCAAAGACCAGACAAGACTTGCAAATGAGTTGAACAATGAATGTACTTGCCAGCCCACATAGATCCACTGGCAGAGTGGAGGCCTGACTGATGGGGTTTGAACACAACCTCTGTCCAATCCTTTCGCTAAATACTAAGCTATGCAGTCACAGCAGAAACTGTTAGGAAGCAAGAGTTAACATTTTTTTTAAATAAAGGAGCAGACACACCAGTGGCTGCACACTGTCATGGAGACAGATTTCACAAATTTACTGATGGCGAATACTAAACAAGAACAAACCTCTAAGGGAAAAATTTCAGAATCAGTAATTGCTACATTATCTGAAATTCAACAAGATTACCCTTATGTACCCTTATTGAGGAAGAAAAGCATTCAGCTGGAACTGAGTATCTCCAGATGCTGCAGTTAGCAAAGATTTAAAAGCAGCTATTATGAGCATGCTCAAAGAACTAATGGAAGTCCTGTTTGAAGAATTGAGACCTATGATAAAAATGATGCAATGCATAAAGAACCTCAATAAAGAGATACAAAGTATAGGAAAGAACCAAATACAAACTCAGAGCTGAAAAATATAACATGTAAACTGAAAAATTCAGTTGAAAGAAGAATTAGTAAACCTGAAGAATCAACAAAAGTATTCAATCTGAAGGAGAGAGAGAAGCAATGAAGAAAATGAACAAAGCCTCAGAAACCACATCAACATAAAGTATATCAACACATGTGGAAAAGAATCCCAGAAGAAGAGAAAGGGCAAATAAATATATGTGAAGAAATAATTGCCCCAGACTTCTTAAATCTGATGAAAAACATTTATCCACAGATCAAAGAAGCTCAAGAAATCCTAAGTAGGAAAGCCTCAAGGAGATCCACACTTAATATCCATCAGAGTCAAACTGTTAAAAAGAGAAGGCTAAGGGAAACTTCTTGAAAGCATCAATAGCTATTTACTATTAACATAATCATTACCATTGACACTGACTTCTCACCAAAAATAATGGAGGTCAGGGGTTTGTGAGATGACATGTTCAAAGTATTTAAAGAATAAACTCTTAATCATGTACTCCATATCCAGCAAAAATATTCTTTAAAAAAAACAAAAGGCAAAATAAAGACACCCCCAGATAAAGACTGAGGATTTAAGATTATACAAAGCAGTAGTTATGTCACTGTACTGTCAAGTTGTTATAAGACATACAAATGTAACATGACAACTAAAGCACTAAGAAGAGAAAAAAAGGAAATATATTAGAACAAAGTTACTACATTTTTACAGAATTAAATTTGTATTATTTTGAAGTAGACTGTAATTAAGAGTGATAAATGCCTATCATCATCCCTGCAGCAACTACTACTAGGACAGAACTCAGAAGAGGAGGAACAGGGAATTCCCTAGTGGTCCAGTGGGTAGAACTCTGTGCTGTCACTGCCAAGGGTCTGGGTTCAATCCCTGGTTGGGGAACTAAGATCCCATAAGGCATGTCACACAGCCAGGAAAAAAAAAAAAAGGAAAATGAAGACAGGGAATCCCTTGAGATATGAGAAAAACAAAAAACAAACAGCAAAATCGCAAATGTAAAAGCAACTATATAAGTATTAAATATGAATGAATTAAACACTATACAAATAAGAGAGATTAGAGACTGGATTTAAAAAAAAAAAAACCACAAGATTCATGTGATAAAGGACTTGTCTTCAGAATACGTAATCTCTTACACATAGAAGACAACAAACCAAAGCAGGGAGGGAGGAGCTGAATGGACATTTCTCCAAAGAGGACATACACAGGCCAAGGGCCTAGCAGAGCACACAGAATCACCAGTCCAAGGGCAACGTAAGTTAGATTTACGATGAGACTCTATTTCATAACCACGAAATGACTGTCAAAAAGACAAGACTGTAAGAAACGTACAAGATATGGATAAACTGGAATATTTCATACACTGGTAGTTGGAACATAAAATTATATATTTATATAGTTACTTTTAAAACAGTTCTTCAGGTTCTTAAGAAATTAAACAGAAACTCAGCACCTCAGGCAGCAATTTCTGGAAGTCTACCTACAGAAATGAAAACATGTCCACACAAAGACATGTATACACACATATATAAACAGACAGGGGGCAGGGAGGAAAGGAAAACAGAGGAAGGGCCAGAAGAAACTGGGGCAAATGAAAACAGTTAGTGAATCTGAATCAAGAGTATAAGGAAGATCCTTGTATTATTCTGATAATGTTTCTCTAACGTTGAAAGTACATCAAAATTTTAAATTACCCAAACAAAAGGGCAAAAATATCATGCAGCAAACTCCCTCTATCAACATCAATGAAGACCATTAACAGTTTAAAAGTTACTAGAAAACTATAGGTAATTTTAATAAAATCACTTCAAGAATATAATTTGGTTGTAAAGCCAATACAATGTGCTCTAAAATAATTTTTCTACTGAGCTAAATAAAGTCATCTGTAAATCCAGTAACAACACATTAATATTCACAAAATCTGACTGTAAAGTAAACACAACTTTCCATTTCTAACACAGAGTAATTCAAAAGTTCACTCTGAAGGGGACTGACTTTTTGGTTTTATTTTGGTTTCACTGCCAAGCATAATTACATTGTTATTCAGAATTCGAGGTTTCAGAGTAATAGTAATGTTTAAAAAAAAAAATTATGAAAATGCAAGCTGCATTTTTTAAAAGTTATTTAAATTCTGATTGTATCTGCAGGTTCACACTTCTAAACTCTTTATTTTTTTTTAAAAAACACCTTATATATGATCAATCTAGGTCATAATTAAGTGCATCCTGAAGTTTCCAGTAATGAACGCAGAACTATGATGTACCAATAGCCAAACAGCATCATTTCTTTATCAAAGATAAATGGTACTACCTAGAAACAAAGACAATCCTTCATGAATTTTACTTTGCTAAGTAAAAATAACTCCCAAAAGCTAAAGGCACACTTTCTATTCACATCTAACACTGTAACCAACCATAAAATCATTATTTATTTTCAACTTAATAACCAACTGACACTTCTCAAACAAGCTGTTTTTAATCCTGATAGCTCTTTATTTTAATAAATTTGCTACTTGCAATACGTGTCCATCATGAGAATAATCAAAATTAGATGAATGTGACAAAAGACTGACAAAGTGTTTCACACCTCTGAATGATACCAAGAATGGGAAAAAGAGTTGCAAAATAAGACTGCTTCAATGCTACTTATGGTCTTGCAATAAAACCAGCAATACATCCATTTCAAGAGCTATCATCTCACTTCCAACTTCTTCCCCTCAAGAACAATTTGAATCTCTTTGGCATCCAAAGTCTCGTAGGTCAATAAAGCTTCTGCCAGATTCTTGTGCTCTTTCGCATGAGTCTTCAAGATATGTTTTGCTCGTTCATATGAATCCTGAAATACAAAGCAGATATGTAAAAGGCAGAAACCTCTGAAGCAAAACCATAAATGGGGAAAAAAAAAAAACCCTTTATGTACTCTAAAAAAATATATAAGATCTACTGATTTCTATCTATAAAACATAAAAGCATTTAAAAGCTTGGTTCCCTGATAGTATCTTTCATCCTTTCCAATGTTGTATTTTTAACCTCCAAATCTATCCTGTAGATAACCAAGGTCCACTTACACAGAAACCTACTTAAGAAATAAAAGTATACACTACTCATCTGCTTTCTAAGTAAGGCCTGTAAACACAGAAATCTATTTCTTTATTCAACATACATGCTAAAAGTAAAGGGAGTTTGTTCATTTTGTCTCTTAACATTTCACCAATTTTTCACCAATTTACTCAATTTAGAATGGCCAGAAAAGATACAGATTTCCATTCTTTTACTTGGTAACACACTCACTTCGCAATATTGTAACAGTCTATCACTAGAGGTGATGCTTGACTTTTATACTTTTTTTTTTTTGCAACCCACCTTGAACATATCACTTAAATCCTTGAGTTCTCTTTCCAAAATGAGTCTGAATTAAGTTTATCAGTTTATGAATAATGGCAATAATAACAGGTCATTTTTTACAGTATCACATTTGCCTGTACAAATGTCAGTATTTGAATAGCTAATCATTTTTGCCCTTATAAAAATGGGTAGAAAACATAACAATGAATTTACCAAAACCAAGAAACACAGGTATGTAATACAATTACCAGACATTGTGAACATAACCAAAATGTCCAAATGAAATAACCACATTAAATATATAAATTATTAGAAATATATTATGGAATATTATAGCTAAAAATCAAGTATTAGCAGTAAGTTTAAAAACTTCCTTGGAATGTACACCTTTAAAACATGTAAGACTATCAGGTTTCACACTTTTAAGGCTCCATGTACATTTGAACCTGGGGCTTCCCTGGCGGCTCAGATGGTAAAAAATCTGCCTACAATGCGGGAGACCAGTTTCAATCCCCGGGTTGGGAAGGTCCCCTGGAAAAGAGAATGGCAACCCACTCTACTATTCATGCCTGGAGAATCCCATGGACAGAGGAGACTGGCAGGCTAGAGTCCATGGGGTTGCAAAGACTCAGATGCGACTGAACAGTCATGCTACTACATTTGAACCTAACATAACACGTAATACCAAAGTAAGCCTGCCATCTAATGAAGAGTACCTACTGTACTTCCGGTAGCAAGCATGCCCCTATTAACTTTATGAGATATAGTGACATTTCTAAAGAACAGTGAAACTTGAGCTATTTTGCATGCACCGAAATTTTCAGGCACATTTTGACTAAACAGATAAACAAACATTAAAAAAAAAAATTATTACCCTCAAAAGGATTCTGATTTCCTGTTCAATAGCAGATTGAGTTTCTGGACTCAGTTTCCCTGTATCACTGTAGGTCATAACTCCAAGCTAAAATCAATGAAAAGAAAGAAATTCAACATAAAAATCTTCAACTAATGTATGTAACAGAGGGAGGACTATACCATAAGAAAGTAAGTATCACAAGAGCAAGGAAAACTTACAATATAAAAATGCCCTTGAGGGCAAAAAAAAATTCATTCTTCTTCTGAAAGTATAAGTGAAGTGAGTCACTCAGTCATGTCCAACTCTTTGCAACCCCATGAACTATACAGTCCATGGAATTCTCCAGGCCAGTATACAGGAGTGGGTAGCCTTTCCCTTCTCCAGGGGATCTTCCCAACCCAGGGATCGAAGCCACGTCTCCTGCATTGCAGGCGGATTCTTTACCAGCTGAGCCACAAGAGAAAACATAATACTAAAATGTATAGAGAGAATTTTAAAACCCAAGTATGGTTCTCAGTGGGCTTCCAGTTGGCGCTAGAGGTAAAGAACCTGCCTGCCAATGCAGGAGATATGAGACATGGGTTCGATCCTGGGTCAAGAAGATCCCCTGGAGGAGGGCATGGCAATCCACTCTAGTATCCTTGCCTGGAGAATCCCATGGAAAGAGGAGCCTGGTAGGTTATAGTCCATAGTGTTGCACCGAGTCGGACATGACTGAAGCAACTTAGCATGCATGGTTCTGAGTACCAAGTTCTAAAGTTTTCTTGGAAAATTTTAGCAGCTATTCTAGTCCAGAAATTCACAGTCACAGTATACTTGAATTGTTTCATGGAGCCACAGTGATAAAGGATATGTAGAGAATGTGGAAAGGGCAAATTAAGCAAACTCAACAAGTAGATCTTTGATGTCATATGAACATAAAGAGCTAAAGAATTTATATTATCATTTGGTTAATTCATGAATAACTGTTACTGTCTGAGCAGCTGGAATAGAAAAAGTGTGTGCCATTTCTCAGAAAATGAGGTTTAGTTTATAAAGTAAGCTTTGTCAAGTCCATTTGGAATGAAACAGGAAAATCTATCAATTTATAATAGAACTTTCTCTCAGAAAGAGACACGCTTCACATCATCACGTGATACATGAGGGAGGGTTAAAATTAGCTATTACCTTTTCACTCATTCCAAATTTGGTGACCATGCGCTTTGCTATTTTGGTTGCATTATCAAAATCACTGGAAGCACCTAAAATTTTAAAATATACATAGAACTCAAGTTTAAAAAAAACCTTTAAACGAATGAACACAATTTGAACTAAAGCCATTATTTACAGTAACCTGTTGTAATATGGTCACTTCCAAATATAAGTTCCTCTGCCACTCTTCCGCCCATGCTGACGTCCATCTGGGCAAGCAGCTGAGCTCTAGTTTCATTCCACCGATCATTCTCAGGCAACAGGGACACCTAGACAATTGAAAAGCAAAAAAAAAATTCATACACAGTTTTGAAATACATGTTAATAACCTGAATTATCATTTGTGTCTCTTACTTAACCCATGTGCTAAAAACTCAGCAACATTTCATAGAGACAGTCATGGTGACTGATGACCAAACCAGAAATGTATAAAATGAGGAAAGAAGAGTGCATTTTATAAATAAGTAGTTAGTGATACAATACAACTGTCTGTCCTTCACTAAATATTGAAAATGTCTATAATTAGAAAGATATGAAAATGAAATTTATGCTCAATGAGACAAAACTTAGAAAAACAACTGAACCAGTCATTATGAAACATAATTTCTTCTGAGGGGAAAAGAGCAACTACACTTTTTAAGAATTATATTTTGTTGTCATTCCTGAAATCTGAAATATTAAAGATACCCTTATTAGCAGATAGATTTCACACGTATGTCTGAACTCAAGACAGCTGAGGAAGTTAAGAAAGTATCAACAAACTTAGGAAGTAGCTGAATTTTCTTTTGAAATGTTTTCATCAGTAATTTCCTTCATAAAGTACTAGGGAGCATTATCTGAAAGAAAAGAAAAACTAAAGATACTCACATGTCCAAGTGTTGGCCCCCGAGGCATGATTGTAGCTTTGTTGATAGGCATTGCATCTTTCGTGTAATATGCAATAATAGCATGACCAGACTCATGATACGCTGTGATCGTTTTGTTTTTATTATCAATTTCCACACTTCGACGCTCAGGCCCTAAGAATAAAAATTTACTAAAGTAAAATACTCCAGTAGGAAGGAATATTGAGTGAATGAAGCTCATATGCCTCAAAGTCATTCTTAGAGTAATATGATTTAGTATCATTACTATTTTAAAACATTGTAAAAGTTTAAAAAATGAGTAGACTCCACTCTACAACACATGTAAACCACAATTTGTCAACTGAAAACCAAATTCTAAGAACTATAATCTTACTCCTTATATCAAAAGGAAAAAACTTTATTTCTAGAAAATAAACTTCTAACAGGAATATCCTAACAACCTGTTTTGAAGCCAATTTAAATAATCCTTATTTTAATTTCTTTATGTCTGTGCTGGGTCTTTGCTGCTGTGTGGGCTTTTCTCTAGGTGTGGTGAGCGGGGACTACTCTCTAGTTGTGGTGCACAGGTTTCTCAATGCAATGGCTTCTCTCATTGCAGAGCGCAGGCTCTACGCTTAAGCAGTTGTGGCATGTGGGCTCAGCAATCATGGCTCCTGGGCTCTAGACAGGCTCAGCAGTCGTGGCACATGAGCTCAGTTACCCCACGGCATGTGGGATCTTCCCAGATCAGGGCATGAACCTGTGTCTCCTGTGCTGGCAAGTGGCTTCTTTACCACTGACCCACCAGGGAAGCCCCTGGAAGCCAATTTAAGGTTTAAAATAAAACTTAAATACTGAAAAACAGTAAAAAGTTAACTATTCTTGAATCAGCAGTATCAGATAAGAAGAAAACCATGGGCACCTTCAAAGATTATAATATACAGTGTATTTTTTCTGTAACAGGCCAAATTTTGTGCTATGTTTGAGTATATATTTGCATGTTTCTATACCTTTCTTTTTTATAATCTTTCTCTCAAAATTAAGAATTTTTTCTCTAACATAATGAACAGCATAACATGGGGAAAAAAAGAAAAGAAACCTACCCATCAAGATTTTATCTTTGGAAAACTCCAGTTCCTTCATAGTAACCATTTCTTTTCCATCAACAGCTGCCTTTAACGCAGCCTGGTTCACAAGGTTCTCCAACTCTGCTCCAGAAAAGCCAACAGTACCTCGAGCTATGATTTCTGGATCAACAGCTATATGCAGACAGAACACAACACTGAAATTTCAAAAGCAGTAATAAAAAGCTCTGCAAAAAGAACTCATTTTGCAAAAGAAAAAAGAAAATAGCAATTATGAGCTATAATTTTAAAAAACTTTACTAAATCCTAAAAGGAAAAAGGAAAAATTGCTACTGAACAGACCATAAAAATTGTCACTGGGACAAATAACATAAGTTCTTATACTTAAATAATTTTGTGGAAAACAAAGAAAGGTAGAGTTGTCAGATAACGGATTTACAGACTTTCAGTTATCACTCAACCACAAATTGAAAAAGCACATTATCATTTCACCTTGAAATAACTCTGGACACAAAAATCTACGTTACAAGAGGAAACATGTTTGATTTTATGAACTGATCCTGTTATCTCTGAAAATACTGCAGTTAATAGCTGCTTTTACTACTCAGGTGGGTCCATAATATTTCCATGTATTTTGTTTTATACTTTTGCTTCCCCTCTTTTGGCCCCAAAGTGATTACATCATGAGGTACTATGTTCATAATATACAGGTACTTGTTCTATTAATTTATATTTTACATTAATCTAAAGAAACATTTATATATAGATTCATCAAATATTATCTTTCTCAATATTCAAAAGAAAACTTTCTTTCAAATAGGGATTCAAAATTATAGAATCTCTGATACACACTACTTAAGAAACAGACTTTAAGGACAAATAAAAGGAGAGAAAAAAAACATTTAAAGGAACTTGTCTTTTAAGACATCCTGAGTAAGGACCACAAACAGGGTAAATTGATATATTACCATTTCACAGAGATGTCTGTATCACAGAATTAGACTTACATTGATCAAACTTTATTTTATTGAGGTACCACTTCAAGATTTCTGTCCGACCTTTCACATCTGGCCTTGGAACTGTAACCTGCATGTCAAAGCGACCAGGGCGTATTAAGGCACTACAAGGAGAATACAAAAAGAAAACATAATTAATAAACTGTGCCGAAGGTCTGGTTATAAAAACAGGATTGACATCCGAAAGAGAAGATGAAAAGGTAAGGGCAACTGACATTTATTTTGAGCATAAATATTCAGATTAGTTCCTTGAAAACCATGGTTGAAATAATAATTTCAATAACTGGAAGGCTAAACAAAGGTTCCTATAGATAAATGTGTCCATCAGGATAGTATACAACCCTTCAGAGACAAAGAGAAGCAAGTGTGTCAGTAAAGGAAGAAATAATTCTATAACAGCCTATTATGAGAGCCACACACCCATCTTACTGCTGTTATTATAAAACGTTAAACTAGACCCTTAAGCAAGAACCAACTATTAGATCAAATGAAAGTATGAATAAATTAAACAGTAAAATCAATAAAAATCTTAAACAGTAAATTTTACTTTTAAAAATGTGCTACCACCCACCCCCAAAAGTTCTGTGATGTTTAAGTCACAAAAAGATTCTTTTAGTAGCTTTACTGAGATACAATTCTCACATCATAGAATTTGAAGTGGACAATCCAGTGGGTGTTAATAGATTCAGAGTTGTCTAACCATCACCACAATAATTTGAGAGAATATTGATCCCCTTCCCCCACTTTCTCCAGCCAAAAGAAACCCCAAGTCTACTGGCAGTTCTTTCCCTCTTTGCCTAACATCTGGCAACTACTAAATTACTTTCCATTGCTATACATCTGCTTATTCTGAACATTTCATATAGAAGGAATCATATAATATGTAATGTTTTGTGATGGGTTTTCTTCACTTAGTACAATGTTTTTAAAGTTCATCACTGTTCTACAGTGTATCACAAAAATTTTAATACTTACTTATCTAATGCCTCTGGGAAATTTGTGGCACCTATGATGATAACTCCTTCGTTGGGTTTAAAACTATTAAGGAAAAAAAGTATCTTTTCACTGAAAGTTAAAACAGCACACACACAGAAATGTTCTACACAACTGTTTACCTTCGATCTTATTAACAACAAAGAAAACGGATTGTCTTTTTAATGCCCTAAATAGCAAGACATCCCTAACTGCTTTTTAAAAGGTCAGCGCACTTCAGTAACACTTGTTAATAATAAATCACCAAATCATCTGTGGTTTCACAGTAATTTTTCTACTTAGGAAGAGATAACCTGACACAAAAAGCTTGAGATCCTAACTGATTTTTTGAAAAATTATTTTCAAGTTTACCAATTCCAATTATTTACTCTTAAACTTTCAGAATGTCTTTTATGACTTAAGGAAACTTCTCTGCTTCATTCAAAGCAAGTCCACCTCTTGCTTTTTACATTATGAAAACTGACGCAAGCTTTTGATCGACAGCAACCCTCAGAGCTAGTCACAAACAGTGCAGGAATCAGGGTATTCTCCTTCCACATTTCCAAAGAGACAACTACTTTCAGCTAGAATCACTGCTTTTTTGTCATACTACAGTAAATGAAAATTTCACTTTTCAATTTAAGAGTAGTTAACACATCAGTTATCAATGATCCCATTAGTAAAACAATAGTCAAAATAGCTTGTCTTTACTTCTTGCACATAGGCTATTCTGTTGCCTATAAACTTAAAATTTTTCCTATCTCTGAAATGCTACTAAATATACCACCAAATTCTCAAGACAGAAGATTCAATTACCCATCCATTTCAGCCAGAAGTTGATTTATAGTCTGCCGTGAATATGGATGCATTGGAGATTCAATTCGCTTCCCACCAACAGAATCCAATTCATCAATAAATATAACACAAGGGGCATTTGCTTTTGCTTCCCCTAAAGACAGAAAAGATTCAAATAAGTTTAATAAAATCAACACCTTTAAAATAAAATTGCATACATATTTAACAACCTGTAAGATAATTAAAAAGCCAATAAAAGACACTCATTAGGGAGCAAATACATAAAAGAAGGTCTTTCTTAACTGCTTTAAGAAGAGTAGTCTCAAATGAAAAAAAAAATTATAACATTGAGTATTCATTCTTCCTAGTCATACAAACCATATACAGTCAAATTTGAGGCAAATAATTTTTAAATATATACTGCAGAATTGATAAATAAGGTGAAAACAAAACAAAACACACCAAAAAAAACCCCAAACAAAACCACAGGTTTTCAACAGACCCCAGCCCCATCCAGCAACCTAGTGATTCCACAAACTCTTCTGACTAATTGGAAAGAAAAGTAATAGTTTTATTTTAGCCCACACACTAAATTACCTGAGATTAGCATCCTACAATGGCTATTTCAGTCAACTATTAAATCAGAAACAAGAAGCAAAGAAAGAGTTTAAGAAACCCTCTTTTCCTAACACTAAGAGAAATTATTACTATATGAAAGATCTGCTAAACCTACTAAAAAGATTTCTTATACGGCTGGCTCCCACACCCACAAACATCTCATCAAATTCTGATCCAGAAGCATAATAAAAAGGAACATCAGCTTCTCCAGCAACAGCTCGGGCAAGAAGTGTCTTTCCTGTTCCTGGTGGTCCAACTAAAAGAATTCCTAAAGGAAAAGAACAATGGTTCAAATTAAAAAACAAAAACACAACCTGATAAGAACTTAAAACAAATAATTACTAATTAATAAATACACTGCCGTGGTTGAAGGCACACCAATGACCAATATTTTCAAACATAGTCAAACATATTTGTCTCTATAAATGATTCACTTCAGGACCTGCTTTGTAACTAATTTTCCTGTATTATTTCAATACTGTTTATACATTGGGATAAATGCTGGTATCTGAATATGACTTTGAATTAGATAACAGTTTTGGATCTGTGTTAAATTTCCTGACTTTAATAACTGTACTGAAATTGTATAAAGAGAATATCCTTACTTCTTAGGCAACACATGATGAGTTATATAGGCACAAAAGAGCATGACATCTATAATTTACTTGCAAGTGGTTTAAAAAATAATGTAAAGAAAATCAATTAACAAACAGAACAAAATGTTAAAAAATTTTTTGAGTCTGAGTTAAAACCATGGAGGAAATTCTTTGTACTACTTATTGCTGCACTTTACTTAAAAGTTTGAAATAACAAACTTTTAAATTATCAAAGAAAAAAGATAACAAAACAGTATGTTCAGAATGAGCACTTGTAAAATAGCAATTAAGAATTACTAATAAACTTTCATCTGGTAAATCTGATAAAAGTTAAATTGGTGATTTTTACAGTGTTTTGTCAAGTCATGGGAAAATGAAGATACCTTACCTTTTGGAAGTTTACCTCCAAGAACAGTAAATTTTTGTGGATTTTTCAAAAATTCAACAACTTCCTGTAATTCCTGTTTAGCTTCCTCCACCTGAAGTGATACAATTTACCAAATAATTTAAAATATTAATTATCTTACCAAGACACCCTCTTTGAATATTGTAAATTTAACCTGATATTAACTTGGCTTTTTGTTACAGTGAAAGTATACAAAAAGGTCCCTTTAGAAATACTCACACAAAGGGTTTACTCTCGACCCTCAGTACCAGATACATGAAATCTCCTTACATATCCCAACAAAACCCCTTTCCAATTGCTTCCTTTGGTTAAAAACAAAAACAAAAACCTGTTACATTCAAAATTCTAGTTAAATGTCTCAGTGGCATTTAGTATAGAGTTGCCTAATAAGTTTCAAATCTAAAACTTTTTTGGACCTGCTTATAAGCTTCAAGGGCAAACTATCTGGATACTGTATATTAACGATAAGTAAGTCTGTGTTTAAGTTATAAATTAATTTGTGGCTAGTGATGAAGTCATTTTTGTTATAAGGAATTACTACTAGAATGTAAACAATTTAGTTCCTAACAAATGCCAAAGGACGGTGACTAAAATTAAGCTATAATGTACTGCTTTATAAATAGTTGTGGTAAAAAAATTTTTAAAGATTTAATTCCCCAAATATAAAATCTTACAGAATTGAGATCCCTAGCAAAAAAAAAAAAAAATCCAATCTGGCCAACAAAAATTGCAATCAGAATATTAGACCATCTTTAAAACTCTGATAAGGATTAAGAAAGCTATCTATTAGAAACAGTGAGCAATTTTCCTAGTCAGCATATAAGCAGAAGTCACAAATGCAAATCCCTAGTGGCAAAATGGTATCAATAAATGAGTGAAGAAGACCAGATGTAGAATAGCACTGGTGGAAATGTGCTAAACTGGAAAGCAACAGTCCCTTTAAAGACAATCATACATGGCTCTGTCAAAGAATGCAGACCTAGTGTTCCACAATGCAATTTTCAACAAACACCGGAAATTTTTTCGTGGGTACGACTTCAATTTAAAAATGTTGGCTACAAGTGTAAATTAAGAATACCTTTTTTTATATGTATACTTTCACATATTTAAATTACCCTCATATAATAATATATTTGTAGCCAACCTACTACCTCATATCACACAACTTTTAATAACTCAGTGAGAAAACTCAAGTATTTACATTGGGCAGTGATAAAAAGAAAGTACTTGGGAAGAGGCGTACAGGAAACACATTGATGGGACCAAAGTCCTACAAGACTTACCCCTTCCCCCCTCCCACACACCCCTCAGATGTCAATCCCACGTCTAGGTTGTCATCTGTGCTTCTGCCAATGGGCTATAAATTGGAGATTCCCAGAATCCCTCCTTGGGTTTAATTTGGTAGAGCAGCTCATAGAACTAAGGAAACCAGGTTAGGCACTATTGGCTCATCAGGATATACCCTAGAACAGCCAGAAGAAAGAGAGAGGTACGCAAGGGATACAGGAATGGGTACAGATGCTCCATGTCCTCTCTGAAAATGCTACTCTCCTCGCGCCTCTATGTGTTCACTAACTGAAAACGCCTCCGAACCCCGACCTGTTGGGATTTTAATGGGAGTGTACTCACACAGGCATAGTCAATTACTAACTCCTTTCCAGCTCCTCCCCGCTCTCTGGAGAACAGACAGTAGAGGTGGAAGTTCCAAGATTCTAATCACAGCTTGATCTTTCTGGTGACCAGCCCCCCTCCAGGAGCCCACTCAGAGCCACCTCCTTAGAACAAAAGACACTGTGGGACTTCCTTGGTGGGCCAGTGGATAGGACTCCATGTATTCACAGCTGTGGGCCCAAGTTCAATCCCTGGTTGGGAAGCTAAGATCCCATAAGGTGCATGCTGTGTAGTCAAGGGAACAAGGAAAGAAAGGAACAAAAGACACTGCCATCACCCAGGACGTTCCAAGGGACTCAGAAGTCCTGTGTCAGGAACTGGTGTCAAAGACCAAACAGTAGAACAAAAGATACTCCCAGTGCTGTTGTCCCCTGGGAAATTACAAGGGTTTTAAGAGCTCTGTGCCAAGAACTGGAGGCAGAGACCATATATGTATTTTCTATTATTTCAACCTTTCTAATAAAAAATACAATTAAAATAATGTTTGAAGAGACCAAGGTAAACTTTTTAACTTACTCCTTTAACATGTTCAAAGGTAACATTTTTCATCTGCACAGGATCTACAGCAGAATCAAGCCCCGTTGTTGTCCGGAAGCGGACTAAAGGGACAAAAAAAAAATGCTTACATATTTGATAGATTCATAAAATTCTAACTACCTTATTTTTCAGATGCAAGAAAGTCCAGAAAAATTACATGTCTAAGATCACAATGCGAGGAGTAGCAATTAGGTCTTCTGGATTTTGAGACAATGTTCAAAGAATGAATGATTCTCATGAAAATGACATCTTTGCCTTTCCAATTAAAACTAAGAATTTTCCTCTTCTCCTTATGTATAATAATAAAAATGTAAACCAATGGTTCTTAAGCTCCCTTGTGTGCAATAAAGAAACACAAAAGAATAAGCATCAGAGCTCTTCCCACTCTTCCACCACCCTGCTGATACCACCTATCACTATCAATCCATACACTGGTTCCTTTTTTTGGAAAAAATAATTTTAAAAAACCAGAGCCAAGAGAAGGCAGATCTAAATATAAAAAAGGCTATTCAAAAAAAAAGGCTATTCCTGGATGTTAAAACCTCATCTCAGGTTTGATAACTTTTAAAATAACTGGGGCTATATCAAGTTCTAGGAATAATTTCAGATCTAGGTGAATCAATGTTCTTAACTGTAAATCATTTTTTTTCCCTCTCAAGGTAATTATCATAAAGAAAGGGGAAAACACCGTATAAACACTGAATGACAGCTGGGAAATCAACTGGAACCACTTAAATCTGACACTATGACTTCATTTTAGACCAGCGAACTGAGAAAACCTGGGCTCTAAAGTAATCTTCTGTGTGTTAATTTTCAGTACATTGAATTTATTACTGTGAAAATAGATGACTATTTTCACTCTGAACTGCTATCATAAAGTTCTTCTGCATGTTCTTAGAATTTTATCACTGGTTAAGTATCATTACCTAAAAATCTGGGGAATTAATCACATCTAAAAGTAAATTTAAAATTATCACTCTAACATAATCCTTGGAACTTTAAAAAATATTAGTTATATTCTTAAAAAAGTACAATTGAATTTATACAGTGTCTGAAGGAATTTTTCTTATAATCCATAAAACAATGCAAATATAGTAAGTCCTCTGACAAGGTGGATGATACATAATCATAAGAGATTAAAATTTTTCTATATCAATGCAAAAAACAATCTCAATGTGACCCAATCTGAGAAGTCTCAAATTTGGATTAAAGACCTCGACCCTAAAATTATAAACATAAATGTTTTCTTATCTGTAAGTCTTAGACTAAGGAAAAGAAATGAGTATATAAAATATTTTTTAAAGTAAAATATAAATATAAAGTCAAATATAAAATGTATTTTTAATATATAAATTAAAAATATAAAAAATAAAAGTCAAATATAAAGAGTCTCTACCAGATAAAAATGGGTTCTTTAAGAGTCCATAAATGCCAACTACCAGCAGAATAAAAACAATCAGACGAGTTCTTCTTAAAGAATCTGGAGGAGAAAGAAAAAAGCCTTAAATAAAATGTTATCAATTAGAAATGACAGCTCAATGAAATGCAAACGTGAGGTTACTGATGGTAATCACATTTCACAACACACAGTTCTGGAGCCTGCTATATTTTGCATAATCTCCATGATCGCCTTTCAGCATGTGTTATCAAAAATTTCATAAAGCCTCTTGTACTTCTATCAGTGACTTAGGTTCACTTCAGACAGTGAAAATGCCAGGACATATTCTCTTTCCACACAGCTTAAGATACAAATATAAGGAAATGTAACCAATAAAAACTCGCATAATTGTTAGAAAAATTATTATAATCACTTAGAGGCAGGACTATGATTTCCTTTCAGATATTCCTCTCCAAATATGGATGGTGTCTAATCAACTTACCATTGGTTTTTTGTGTTAGCGCTTGAGCTTTCAGGAAACCCTCTGCAAAACCAGTTTTAAATGCATCTTGATGAGCTTCAGGTATGTTTTTGGTTTTCATGAGTTTATCCAAACTCTCAACGTCTGATCCTCTGTCCCGCAAAAGAAACCCCTAAAAACACAAACAACACATCAGTATCATTGACTATAGGTAATATTCCCCCCAAATATAACAACTACTCATTAAAAAATTCATTAAAATTCTACAACTTAAAATTTTTAATGTCAGTGTGAAGAATGAAGGCTCAACAATAAGTAGCCAATGATTAGGAAACTAGCACTGGCCCATATACTTCTAGCAGTCAATGAATATAAACTATGTAAACCACTAACTCCACTGAGTAACAGGTCACAAGTTGACTTAGGGTTTAATAGCTTACAATAGGTCACACTCCTTTATTCCTGCGGGAAGAAAAACCTCACTCATTTATTAAACGTTTACTTAGCACCTTTCATATATTAATACTTGACCGTGTGTAAGTTCTAAAGATGTAAATACCAATGATCGGAATGTTTTCAGTCTACTGGGAAGAGATACACAAATAACTAAGTTTTTGAAGTTATTTTGATATTACATTAGAGGAACTAGGTATGGTGGTAAAACAAATGCTGTCTAAAGAGTCAGGAAAAACCTTACAGAGGATGGGATAACTAAACCACAGAAACACAAGGCATAAACAATTTGACAGTCATGAAACAACAGCCTCAGCAATCTTGTTTGACAGGACTTTAAAACACCAAGAGGCGAGGATAGAGGGAGACAGGAGGTGGTACACTGAAAGATGAGAACAGAAAAATGTTAGGCAGAATGTCAAGTGATGAAATGCCTTATGTACCATGGCAGAAATCTGACAATAAAGCAGAGGAATACAACCATTACACTATTACACTTTAGACAGTCTAGCGGATGGCAGTCTGGAGACTGGACTAAAGCTAGCAAAAATGAAGGCAGGGAGACTAATCATCATCTGTCTATACATTGGACCTGGGGATGAAGGTGGACTTAAGAAATATTTGACAGGCTGGATCAATAGGATTTTAGTAACTATGGTTGCAGGAAGTGAGAGAAGATGGACAAATCATAGTTAACCACAATGTTTCTAGCCTGGATGGATGCTACTTATTAACATAAAAATACATAAGCAGGTATAGATTGAGAGAGAAAAATAAAGGAAGATGTCTAACAGGCTAGTGGAAAGATAAGCTTGGAATCCAGAAATGTTGTAGATATAATGATTGCATAAAATATTAATCCATTATCCTAAATGAAAAGATGAAAATCAACTAGCCAAAAATATACATCAGATATTGAACATTCTTTCTGAAAAGTACTGCTTTTTCAAACAACAACAAAAAAGGTCTAATTACCTTCACAAATGATGGTGCTGTGTGCTGCGTTTCTGCTAATCTTTCAGAGGTGGACTGCAGACGTCGTGTCCTTGATTTCAAAGTTTTAAAACCCCGAGACTGTATGAAAACTGAATGAAACGGTATCACATTGTTTTCATTTTAAATTTTCACAATGAAAATGTCTACTAAGAACCAAAACTTTGACACTAGTTATTTCCAAATATTCTGCAGATTCTACTGTGAGATACAAATGAATGTTTCTAATCATTAATATCACTAAGAAAAACAAATCAGAATATATTAAACAAATCTAGTTTTTTCAAATTAAATATAATTGTTGCTTCGTACCTGGCCAGTACTGAAGATCTGAACAAATTCTTTTAAGAGTTCTTGAATGTTGTCTGTATAAGCAAGAGGAACGTAAAGTACTAAACATATCTAAGCAACCTGGAAAGAAATTGTAAAAAGTAAACTTTCTAATTGTCAAACAATCAAATCATGAAATACAACAAATGATTTTACCAAATATTAGAAAAACCAAAACAAGAGACAATTATTTCCAAGAGACAATTTAAAACTAGTCAACAATGTGATGAAACACTGAAACCACAAGTATGTTAATAAGTAACATGAAAGTGTACATGGCTCAGTCAAGTCTGATTCTCTGTGACTTCACAGACTGCAGCCCTCCAGGCTCCTCCGTCCATGGGATTCTCTAGGCAAGAATACTGGAGTGGGTTGCCATTCCCTTCTCCAGGGGCTCTTCCTGACCCAGGGATCAAACCCACACTGCAAGTGGATTCTTTACCATCTGAGCCACCAGGGAAACCCCCTAACCTTGTTATCTATTAAATTATCAACAGTACAAAAATGGCTTACTTTCATTGAAACATAAAATACATTAACTTACCATATTTATTTTCAAAGAAGGACTGTGCAGATACATGAGATGTATGCCAATGGGAAGAAACATTATTGTCCTTATAAAATCCAGGAAGTACACTGTCTACCAGTTGATCAATCTGTCCAATTTTCAATTCAGATAATCCAAGGTCCCTTAAGTTAAGTACAGGCTGTAAAAGATTGAGTCAACCATGTAAGCATTATTAGTTTTTAACTTTTCATTGACATATAGTTGATTTACAATGTTTCAGTTGTTGTTTAGTCACTAAGTCATGTCCCACTCTTTTGTGACCCCATCAACTGTAGCCTACTAGGCTCCTCTGTTCATGGGACTTCCCAGGCATGAATACTAGAGTGGGTTGACACTTCCTTCTCTGGGGCGCTTCGTGACACAGAGATCGAACCTGCATCAGCCGCATCTCCTCCACTGGCAGGGGGAGTCCTTACCACGAGCACCACCTGGGAAGCCCTATATATATATATATATATATATATATATATATATATATATATAATTTTCTACGGTAAGTTACTACAAAACATTATATAGTAGGTCCTTGTTGTTTAGCTCAGGTAAGCATTATCACATCAAGTTATTTAACTTAAAGAGTACTTATTAACCAAAATAATGTGAATTTTTAAAATCTAACAAATGTTAGAAAAGTGAACAAAATGTTCACTTTTCCTTCAAGTATTTAAAAAATAAATTGGTATGCATATTTTTCTAGTTCTAGCTTTACTGAGATCAACCATGTGAGATTTGACAAAGCTTTTAAAAAAACCATACTCCCAATAGTATTAGCAGTCCACAGAGCTTAAATGACCATAAACAAAAGCCCATTCAATAACCAATTGCTGAGATTCTTTTTTTTTTTGCTGAGATTCTTATTCGAACCCAAAGGTTCTATAAATTACCCATATCTAACTCCCAGTAAGGAGAGAAATTGAACAAAGCAAAAGATGTGTGAAAACCAGTCAAGAGAATACATTCACCTTAAAACAGTTCTGAAATAACTAGAGATTAAACAGGAGTGAGCTATTTTCTTGTTCAGATGAGCAGACAGGGAGCCACTGAGAACAAGTAACAATTTAAAGTCCCAACAGCTAAAACTTCAAGTAAGGGAAGTAAAACTAAACAAACCAAGTAAAACATCAACTTTTTATGACTGATGTAGTCAGATCCCTGGATTGCATAGCTCTGGACTGATGTTCAGGTGCTAGTCAATTATAAGCTTTGTAACAAGTTCTTCACATTCTTAGAATTCCTTTCCTCATTAGAAAAATGGTTGTAAAATATATCCTGCTTATTTCACAACAGGATAGTGTGGCTCAATGGATGAGATCATGCCTTGCCCATCCAAATAGCCTAATATATATAGTAAGACACTTAAAGTCAGGATGAAATAAAATATTTAATAAGAGCTTTTTAAGGTAATAAAAACTGTACAATATAAGGCACATTATTATAAAGGAACCAGAAGGACTACAATATTTAAAAGCTACAAAGATATTTTATTTTCTAAAATGGGGAAATCAAAAAGTCTATTTATAATACAAAAAGAAATGCAGATTTTTAACTAAGAAGATTATTCACCTTACTTATTGGGTATCAGGTCCTAGAAACACAAAGAGAAATAAAGTACATATGAGTATGATAATTACCATACTACACGGTAACTGCTCTTATAGAGGTATTTTTTTAAAAGTGGTAACAGAAAAAAAAAATAAATAAATAAAAAATAAAAGTGGTAACAGAACACAGAACAACCAATTTCTTAAGTTTCTTAATTTTCCCAGAATTAACACTTAATTCATAAATGATGGGGAAACCTCGGGGAAGAGGACAAACAAAAAGTCATCAAAGGGCCTGGAATGATTGACATGCAGTCAAGTTCAGTGACTCAAGAAAGCACTAGAAAGATGGACTATGGCCAAATTGTGAGGAGCTCTGTTTGCATTTAATTCTATACCTAATATCATTAGTTTTGTTTTAGAGGAAGAAAACAGAAGATAAAGATGATAAGCTGGAGGAAAGAAGGCTGATATAACAAGAGAAAAAAGGCATGAACCTGAACTGAGCCCTAAGAGGGATGCAAATACCAAGTGGCAGAAAACAGACATTTGAAGAAACCGGTGAAGTACAGGATTGTGAGGGAGAGGGCTTCTGGAAGGATGCGCTGGTTATCCATCTGTTGTCTCTCAGCTCCTCTTGATCCTTTCTCTGGCTCCACAGTCCTGTATCTGGGTCCCTTTAAATAGACTACCTTTGTTGGCTAGCAACAACCTCAGAATCTCAGCCCAAAGGTGGAGAACTCTTCGTGGGTCGCTCAATCTTGGGAGTATTAGCTGCTCCTTGAATCTGCAAGTCCTATATATTTCGAGTTCTCTTTACTTATTACTAGACAATCCCTAGTTATGCCAATCCCCTGTAAGATCAAAGTTTTTTAAATATTCAACTAAAAATACTTATTCTGTATATTAAACTTGCACTGTTCAAATGACTATGTGGGCTGTCTCTCTTGGTTGGACCCAGACTGACAAAGAGGTGCTAAAACCACTTTAAGATCAAATACACTGGAATCTGAAGAAGTAGTTCAGTTTTAGACATCTTAATTTTGAGGTCCTTGAAGCCTGTCCAGAGAGTGTTTTATTAAGTCACCAGATGACTATTTTGAAACTTTACAGATAGTTTAGAGTTGAAGGTAGATTTGAGAGTTGTCAACATATAGAAATATACAAACATTAAGATAGATAATCTGGGAGACTGTGGAGAATGAAAATTAGATTACAGGTAAATGCACCCACTATTAAAAGGCTGGCAATAAAAAGAAGTCCAGCAAAACAGAGGGAAAAAAAATTCAATGCAGTATCACTCAATTTCTGAGAGTACTTTGAAAACAGTGGATATTCTTAAGGAAAAGTTGAAAAAGTTGCAGATTTTTTAAAAGGCCTGTATTTACTGCTAAGGAAATCAACAAAATACACAAAGCCTATAAAATGGTAAAAGTACTGGCCAAACTACAATGGGAGATGGTATAAATAAAAGCAACGATTAAGTTCAGAATACTACTTTGTTCGTAAGTCTGAAAGCAAAAGGCAAAGAAGTCAGACAGCTTGGAAGGAAGTTAAAAAGAAAGTTTTTTGCTTGTATTGTGAAGTGGATTTTGGATGAATGAGACTTGATGAAAGGAAAGGCATCGCAGAACAAAAGAGGTAAGAGCAGAGATGAGGAAGGATGCTTAAGAAAAATGGAAATGTTTGTGAAACAATAACAACAAGTAGTCATCAGTGATAAACCACAGGACTAATGAGGGTAAACCAGAGGCTAAGACACCAATTCTATATCTGAAACCATTAGTCTTAAGCTCAACTTTGGCTTCTAGAATTTAGTTACTTTTTAAGCTAAAATATACTTCATCACCGATCTAGCCATTTCACTTAATGAAATAGTCAAGTATTTAGTACCATGGAAAGTACAAGTGGTGCTGTTTATAGCAGAAAAAATTGGAAACAGTACCCAACAACAGACCATAAAATGAACAGTCTGAAGTCATAAAAACTAATGTATGGTATAACAAGTTCATAAGACTATTAAATGATGAGGGAAAAATCTTAATCTGCATATACAGTATGATCCAACTATTATAAAATATAAAAGTACATGGGAGAAAAGGAGAAGTAGGATCATAGTTTAACTTCTCCCACTTACATAATATTTTCCGAAATCTCTGAAATGAACATAATAGTGCTGCATGTAGCATTTTGATAAATGCAGTCATACCATTAGGAAAGCTTTCTCAGACTGTAAGTGAGAAGAGTGTCACAAAACAAGAATGGACTGCATATAGAAAGAGGTGATAGGAATTTGACAGATAGTATAAAGGGAAAACATAAAGACAAATTTTTCACCTACATAAAATTATATTTCAAGACTTACCTCACAACCATCCCCTCATCCCACTCCCACCAAAAGCAATTATGGAAATAGTGTCAGATTTCATTTTCTGGGGCTCCAAAATCAATGCAGATGGTGACTGCAGCCATGAAATTAAAAGACGCTTGCTCCTTGAAGAATAGCTATGTCAAACCTAGACCATGTTAGGAAAAGCAGAGACATCACTTTGCCGACAAAGGTCCGTCTAGTCAAAGCGATGGTTTTTCCAGTAGCCATGTATGGATGTGAAAGCTGGACCATAATAAAGGCTGAGCACCAAAGAATTGATGCTTTCAAACTGTGGTGCTGGAGAAGACCTCTTGAGAGTCCCTTGGACAGCAAGGAGATCAAACTAGTCAATCCTAAAGGAAATCAGTCCTGAATATTCATTGGAAGTATTGATGCTAAAGCTGAAGCTCCAATACTTTGGCCACCTGATGCAAAGAACTGACTGGAAAAGATCCTGATGCTGGGAAAAATAGAGGGTAAGAGAAGGGGGCAACAGAGGATGAGGTGGTTGGATGGCATCACTGACTCAACGGACATAAGTTTGAGCAAACTCAGGGAGATAGTGATGGACAGAGAAGTCTGGCTTGCTGCAGTTCATGAGTTCATAAAGAGTTGGACACGACTTAGCGACTGAACAAAATATACTGTCTTCTGCCACAGTCCCTCAAATGAGGACTAAGGATATAAGCCATTTACGGGTTAAAGAGGCTTCTGTGAAACTTAGCCACATATTATAGTGTTTATTATGAAAAATGTATTCTGAGCTACAAGCAGCTATCTTAGTAACAAGTCTTGTAAACACAAGTTCCTAGATTGTCAATTTGCTATATACCTGACCACGATGATTTTACAATTCTCTGAAAACTCAAAGCACAGTTTCATAGCTAATACATTTAATTTTCAGGTATCTGTGTTTCAACTGTTCAATTACACTGAAAGCTTCTATAAGGCAGCATATAATAACTTCTTGCTCTCTGTCTTCCCTGAGACTTGTGGGGCAGTTGTGGAGTTAACTGTGGTATCCCTGCTACCACTGAAGCAATACAAAAGAATATTTAAATGGTATCACACAAGCAGTAACACAGGAAGTGAATACGAATACACTGCCATGGGAAATTTTTTATAAACGTTAAAAACAGGACAAAGTAATAGTTCTATACACAAAACAAAGCCAGAATTAGATCCTGCAACAGAGATTAAGCTGAAGACAGAAATCACCCTGCTACAAATGCCTAAACATAGAAAGTTATTTCAGACATGTTTATAATATACTAAACCAAAAAAGCTTTCTCATACATCCAGGGTAAAAACTCTTACCTCATTGCTGGGGGCCTCATGCTCAGACCCAACATCTCGATGCTGGTTTTGAGAAATGGATGCACTGACAGAAACTGATGTTTTTTTCGGTGAATGGAAGGCATTGATAAGATGACTCAGAGGAACTGTAACCTAAAAAAAGATAAAAGCTAAAAATCAGCCGTGCTTTTTAAAATAAAAACATCAAAAAAAAACCTTTTTATTGTCAGAATTGGGTATTGTATAAAGTTAAACATACATTGTTTATCAAAACTATACATTAAAAATTATAGTCAGATTACTGCTGGTCGAAAACTACTAACTTTTAGAATAGAACTGGGGTTATATACAGGAAAAGTACTAAAAATACATATATTTCATTGTTGTAGCAACCTAACTCTGAGGGATTTATTTCAAGGATATAATCTGGTAAGTAATAATTTATGCTTGCATATGCCTAGACGATAATTTTCATCAAAATATTTTAAAATTTATGGAAAGCTACAAATGTCCAAGAATAGGGAAGTGGCAAAATAAACAGTACCACTGCAAAAATGAAATATTTCAGACATGAAACAAGCAAGCATATATCCAGAATTTTGTACTTTTCAATTTCCCTACTACACCACCCCACCGTATTCTGAGCCACCATCATCTCTAAGTGCATTTTTTTCTTTTTTGTATGTGGATTTTTAAAAACAGCAACCTAACTTCTCTCCCTGAATCTCCTCTATTAAAGCTACTCATCACTCCTCCGCTCAAAACTCTCCAATGGCTTTTCTCACAATAAAGGTTGATGTCCTAACAACAACGTCTCCCTGGCTCTTTCTCACTTCTGTGATCTGATCCACCATTAAGCTCCCCTTCATTCTCTCTGCTCTGGCCACCTCAGCCCCTTTGCTGTTCCTGGAACAAACCTGGCAGGCTCTCCCTCAAGGATGCTGCATTGCTGTGTATTCCCACCTCTCCAATAAGTCACAAAGTTTGCTCTCATGCTTCATTCAGTACTTCACTCAAAAAGCAATCTTTTCATGTGTCTTTTCCCTGGTCAACCTACTAAAGAACCCTCTCCTAAGAAGTATTCCTTACTGCCTTCCTCTGCTCTATTTTTTCTTCTTGACATTTATGTTATCTCACACATTTTATGTATTTACTTGTTTACCTATGTATTGTTTACTAGAAACCTCAACCTAAGCCCCCTTATTTGCATAAATCCATGTGGGTGACCCAAAGAGGGGCTTTAAGAATAAAAACACGCCTATCACACAGGAAATTTCAAGGGTTTCAGGAATTCTGTGCCAAGAACTGGGAACAAAGACCAAAAATTTTTATTTATTATACCACATTCTCCCACTGGAATATAAGTTTCATGTCAGAAGGGATTTCTTTCCTGTATTTTAATATTTTTCTCTTTTGTTTATACATCAATTTACTATGTTTTTACATAATACTTATACACCTTAGATTTTATTTTTCTCTAACTTTCTTTATTTCATTCAATACTGTATTCCAGTGCAGCAATAATGTACACAGTAGTTGCTAAATAAACATTTGTTGAGAAAATGAATAAACAAAATGGGCTCTTACTATATGACAGTTTTTATACTATATGCTTTACTTAATTATCTCATTTAATCCTCATAAGAGACATAAACATTAGTTACTTCTATTTGATGAAGAGAGCAAAAAATCAGATTCAATGTCATGTTCCAAGTCGTTCAGCAAGAAAAGTATAATATTAGAGGAACGATTCTAACCCAGATAATCTGACTTCAGGCTCCACTTGAAGTCAGATTATCTGGGTTAGAATTGTGGTTACTGATGCAGAAATAAAATCATAATATTGTTATACAAAAAAAGCAAGCTATAAAACTTTATGTAACATTTGTGTGTGTTTTTTTAAATTATGCATACAGAACTTTCCTGTATGCATACCTTTGAAAAGTTTTATTTTAATTACTTATATTTCTTCTCATTCAATATTAAGAAATTAAACTGCTGTTTCCCTAGGTCCTCTGGAACAATCCATCTGGTGCCACCTATTATCTGCTTCCCTGGACCTTTAGGCTTGTCTTGGCCCATCTGAAGACCAGGCAGTTGATAAATCCTGAGGCTCGCTGCTCAGACTGGCTCAGGTGGGACACAGTCACCAGGGATGGTAGAACGTAAGAATGGGGCAAGTGTCCAGACTGCTCTCCTGGACACTGAGCAGAGTCCTGTGGCTCTCAGGCCTCTCTGAGTGCGGAGCTGCCTGGCAACCCTGCATCATGGAAGAGAAAGAGCTAGAAGTTTATGACTAGATTCAAACTCTCCGGGACCCAGAGAAGCCCAGTACTTTAGAAGAACTGAAAGTGGTAACAGAAAGTTGTGTGGAGGTTCAAGAGATAAATAAAGATGACTATTTGGTTATTATAAGGTTCACACCAACAGTACCTCGTGGCTCTTCAGCAACTCTTATTGGCCTGTGCTTAAGAGTAAAACTTCAACAGTGTTTACCATTTAATATGTTGGAAATCTAAATTTCTGAAGGAACCCACTCAACAGAGGAAGATATGAACAAGCAGATAAATGACAAAGAGCTAGTGGCGGCTGCAATGGAGAAACCCAACTTATGGGAAATCATGGAACAGTGTGTCCTTGCACCTAAGAGCTGTTTTAAGAGCCACTAACAATAATCATTTGATACATTTGTTTAAACTCTTTGTAAAATGTAGAAGATTCATGTTTAATACATAGGTGATTTGTACCTCAGAGCATTTTTTTAAAGGATGATTTCCAAGCAAGACTTGATTATAAGGTAGTCCCTAAGTCTGTTCAGTGTCCAGCATTCTCAGGATCTGTAACATTTAAATGATCAGACAGAAAAATATTTTCTAGTTATTATGAGTTATTATGTGTAAGATGAGTTACTATTTTTCTGATCCCCATTATGATACACCTGCTTTTCATGTCAAATATTTACCATGCCCAAAAGTATTAAATCTAAATCATCACTGTGTAAAATAAATAAAAGACATGATTCTTGTTAAAAAAAAAAAAAAAGAAGAATTTAAATTGCTAAAACATGGTCTGATCTCTTCTCAATGAAAAACTTGACCATATGTCATACAATTTAAATTCAAGTGTATCAAACCAATTAAGCAGCCAGGAATTACAAACTGTGTTCTGGGCTTCCCTGGTGGTGCAGTGGTAAAGAACCCACCTGCCAATGCAGGAGATGCAGGTTCGATCCCTGAGTCAGGAAGACCTGGAAAAGGAAATGGCAACCCACTCCAGTATTCTTGCCTGAAAAATCCCATGGACGGGGAACTTGGCGGGCTACAGCCCACAGGGTTGCAAAAGAATCAGACGTGACTGAGTGACTAAACAAGATTACCATCTTCCACAGCATAAAATGCATAAGAGTCCTACGTGGCCCAGTTAGGACTGCCTATAGTACATAAAGCTTCTTCACTATCTCTACCAACATCACACACCACTAACTCCACTTCAGTTCAGTTCAGTTCAGTCGCTCAGTCGTGTCCGACTCTTTGCGACGCCATCAATCGCAGCACGCCAGGCCTCCCTGTCCATCACCAACTCCTGGAGTTTACTCAAACTCATGTCCATCGAGTTGGTGATGCCATCCAGCCATCTCATCCTCTGTCGTCCCCTTCTCCTGCTGCCCCCAATCCCTCCCAGCACCAGGGTCTTTTCCAATGAGTCAGTTCTTCGCATGAGATGGCCAAAGTATTGGAGTTTCAGCTTCAGCATCAGTCCTTCCAATGCACACCCAGGACTGATCTCCTTTAGGATGGACTGGTTGGATCTTCTTGCAGTCCAAGGGACTCTCAAGAGTCTTCTCCAACACCACAGTGCAAAACCATCAATTCTTTGGTGCTCAGCTTTCTTCACAGTCCAACTCTCACATCCATACATGACCACTGGAAAAACCATAGCCTTGACTAGACAGACCTTTGTTGGCAAAGTAATGTCTCTGCTTTTTAATATGCTGTCTAGGTTGATCATAACTTTTTTTCCAAGGAGTAAGCGTCTTTTAATTTCATGGCTGCAATCACCATCTGCAGTGATTTTGGAGCCCAAGAAAATAAAGTCTCACTGTTTCCACTGTTTCCCCATCTATTTGCCATGAAGTGATGGGACTGGATGCCATGATCTTAGTTTTCTGAATGTTGAGCTTTAAGCCAACCTTTTCACTCTCTTTCACTTTCATCAAGAGGCTTGTTAGTTCCTCTTCACTTTCTGCCATAAGGGTGCTGTCATCTGCATATCTGAGGTTATTGATATTTCTCCCGGCAATCTTGATTCCAGCTTGTGCTTCATGCAGCCCAAAGTTTCTCATGATGTACTCTACAAATAAGTTAAATAAGCAGGGTGACAATATACAGCCTTGACGTACTCCTTTTCCTATTTGGAACCAGTCTGTTGTTCCATGTCCAGTTCTAACTAACTCCACTTAGCAATGATAAATTCTCCTAATATGGGGTCTTCTTGATACCAGGGGCTTCCCCATTGGCTCTGTGGTAAAGAATCTGCCTGCAATGCAGGAGACGCAGGAGTCACTGGTTCAATTACGAGGCTGGGAAGATCCCCCAGAGGAGGGCATGGCAACCCACTCCCAGATTCTTGCCTGGAGAATCTCATGAACAGAGGAGCCTGGCTGGCTACAGTCCATGGGGTCACAACGAGTCAGACACGACTGAAGCAACTTAGTAGGCATGCACACTTGATACCAACTTACTGAAGTTCAGTTCCAAAAGGTTTAACAGTCAGCAGACCAAGTCAAATTTTTATTCAAATGACTTGCAGGACTCCACCAGACACTAGTAACACCTTCTTGAAGACAGCTGATCAAACCAAAAACATCTTTTTCCATCGTCCTGATGAAATTCTATTCTTTTTTCAAAATAAATCTCATACCCTCCTTTTCATAAACATTATCACCACTTAGCAGTGCATTAGCACCTCTCCAGATTAGTGCAGTATCATCCTTATCTGAAAACACCTCCACTCTTGTTCTTCTACATTCTCCAAACAGCAAGAAGCCAGAGTAACCCATTACTCTGTAATAGACTGTAAGGTCAATCTGATCAAGTCACTCCTTAACATGTTTAAAAGAATTCAGTGGTTTCCAACAAATTGCAAATGAAATTCAAAGTCCCTTATTATAACCCCCTGTATGATATGTCAAGTTGTCTTTCCAACCTCCTTTCTGCCATTGGCCCTTTAATCACCAACCAGGCTCTAGCTACACTGGCCTTATTTTTGTTCCTCCAATCAGCTAGGCTTCTCAGGATCTCAGAACCTCCAGATGTTCTGTCTACCTGTTCCTGTCTATTAACATGACAAACTCCTACTCATGTTTTATTTCACATCATCATTAAAGCTCCATATTTTCTTTGCCCACCTAGTACATTACTGAAGCCCTATAAATAACCACTTTTTTTTAACCCAACCAGTAGTAGCAAAACAAAAGCGAGTATAGGTTACACAAAGGGACATAATTACAATCTTAAACCAAGAAAAATTAAAGAACGTCAAACATATTTTGAAAACTGAATGTATACAAAAACTGTTTATTTGCAAAACTGTGAAGAATTCTCAAAAAAAAAAGTTACCATCAAAAATGATTTTTAAATGAACTAAGAACAAAACAGTCACAGGTGATAAGTCCTGAGAGAATTAAAAATAAAAACCCTTGGAATCTTTCTTCTCTGCTCCTTTGCTTCATAAATGGAAAGATGACGCGAAAGCTGAATCAAAATTTTGCCTGAAAATAATCAATAACTTAAAATATATGTATTAGCTATTGTAGATTAAAAAAAAGAGAGAAAGAAAGCATTCATAGAAGCTTGCAAATTTCTTAGCATGTCTGGGTTAAATGCCATTAAAAAGAGAGTGAGTCTGGGTTGTGAGTACCAGTCTTTGAAGAGGCGGAAAGACAGAAAAGAAACATTACTTGTTCCCTCTACAACTATGGTAATGACGTTAACCCTACCCACTCCCCAAACCCTACCTCAGAAATGCCTAGCACTAAACAGTGCCAGATGGATTTTCCAGCAAAAATTACACGCATCAAGTCGATAAGCCAAGATCTCCATCACGCTCGTACTATACTTATGCTTCTTCGTCAGCCTTTTACTCAGCGTCGCCCCCATCTTTTCTCAACACCAGGACTCCAATTGGATTAAACGCTTCCCTCCTACGACCCCTTACAGGAAACTGCTTCCAAGAAACGCAAATGGCAAACAACCCGGAGCAGGGCTGGGACAGAAAAATAAACTGGATGCGGACCCACCTGGGGCTGCACGGTGCTCGACAGGGAAAACATCTTCAGGCCGTCAGCGACCTCACCCGCCTGCCAAAACTGTCCCTCTTCTCCGGTCCGGCGGGGAGGCGCTGAGCCCTCTCTTCCCCTTCTTTACTCTCTCAGCGCCCTCACTCTTCCTAGAAGCGGAAAATGGCCTCCCCAGCATACAGCTGCTGCAACGACAGACAACCCGCCCCGGAAGGCAAGGCGCTAACGCACCAGTACTTCCGGGGCAGGTGATGTCGCCACCCTGAGCCGCTGACGCCCCCTAAATAGTTCGCTTTCACATTGAATAATACACGCGCCGGAGCCCCAGAGCTTTCTGGCTGTCGTTTTCTTTTTAAAGGGGAACGGCATCCACCCAGTTAAATCTTCCTCCAGCTTTCTAATCAATACTTTCGACATATTCTCCTGTTGTGACTGGGCCTTGGGCCATAATACGCTCTTTTGCTACAATTTAGTTCTCTTTATCTTCCCCACAATAAAAAAAAAAATCTCCTGTTCCAGATAGGCAAGTTACACCCAGTTAAAATGTCAAATTACAGGACCAGGCATGCGCTTCCTGCTCTCCACATACGATTCCAGTTTCTCCACATTCTATGATTTCACTGGTCACCGATTCACTGACCAGACCGAACTGGTTTACATTCCTCCCGCGGGTGAGAGGCCCTAAAGGAGTCTGGTGGTTGTTTTTTAAGTGGCGTAAGGGCAGGGCCCCACCAGCCTCCTTTGGAGGTCTGGATAAAAAACTCTTCAAGCCCTGTTATTCAAATTAAAGTCCCCAAAGTCCCTTTCTCCATCGGCCAAAAACTGTCGTGCCGTCCAGTCAGTGCGAATGAGGTAAATCAGCCGCCGTGAACCTGGAACAGCCTGTGGTAGGTTCAAGAAATTTCCGGAAGCCCCGCCTTCACTTCCATCGGCTTCTGCGTCGACGCAACGCAGGTGACGGAGGCGGAGACGCGCATGGATGGGTGTGGCGTGGGCTGCGACGTAGTGACATCACTGACTACGTGAGGCGTGGGCGGAGCCTTACTTTGAAACTAGTTGGCGGGAGTTGCCAAGGGGCCTTGCCCGGTGATAGAACCTTGCTTCCGGGGTGGACTGCGATGGAGCCTACATTGGGCGGTGAGATGAAGAGTGGAGCTGGAGCGGCAACCGGAGAGTGCATGAATAGGATCCCGGTGCCAAGACCTCCCTCCATTGAGGAGTTCACCATAGTGAAGCCTATTAGCCGCGGCGCCTTTGGGAAGGTGTATCTGGGGCAGAAAGGGAACAGGTTGTATGCGGTGAAGGTAAGAGTCGAGGATTAAAGAAAGCTAAAGAGGGTGGTCCTTCGGCCCTCCTTCCCGCCCCCTGAACTGGGCAGGCTCCAGGGCCGCTGGAGCGGCTAGACTGAATGCCTGGCTCGCTGAAGCCTCCGGGCCCCGTGAGATGATTTCTCATTTGAGGTGACAGCGCGGGCAAGTCGCTCTTGCCTCTGCCCCGCCCTTCTCTTCCAACCGCGTAAACCTTAGGAGATCTAGGACTTCTGAATCCTTTTTACTAATTTGGGCTTTACCAGGATTAAGATTGAAACTTTAAATTAGAAACATTTTCAAATTATATTTTAACTACCAATTTGATGTTGATTCATTTCTTTTTTGTTGAGGCGTAATTGACATATACCAATTTCAGGTGTACAACTTAACGATTCAGTATTTGTCTATGTGGTGAAATGATCATCATAAGTCTAGTTAACAGCCATGATGAAACAGCAGCAAATTTTTTTCGTGTGATGAGAACTTTATCTTAGCAGCATTCAAATATATAATGCAGTATTGTTAACTACAGTTGGCATGCTATGATATAGATGAACTTTTGACCTGTATAACAAAAAGATACCATTAAACAAACCCACTTTTCAAGCCTTTCATTATAAATCTGGAATGTACATTTATTTAAAGACTAAGCTGAAATATTCCTAAATCACTCCTTTATCCTTACAGTAGTATGTGCTGTGCTTCGTCACTCAGTCCTATCCAACTCTTTGCAACCACATGGACTGTAGCCCTCCAGGCACCTCTGTCCATGGGGATTCTCCAGGCAAGAATACTGGGGTGGGTTGCCACACCCTCCTCCAGGGGATCTTTGCAAGCCAGGGATTGAATTGGGGTCTCCTGCAATGCAGGTGGATTCTTTACCAGCTGAGCTACCCGGGAAGCCCTACAGTAGTATGTATCATTCCAAAGCATTCAAGAGCTCAAAGTATTCAAAGCTGTTCAGGCCACTCTTGATTCTTATCTACTCCCATAGCTTCAAATTAGTCACATCTAAGGAGTGAGTGATAGTAATAAAGGAGAAGCCAGCAGACTGAGTGCTGATGTGGTTTCAATTTCCTGTTGGACATTGCCGTGTGAATATCCTGCACGCACCTCAAAATTGTACTTGTCCAGCTTTGAACATGGTCCTCTCCACCTAACCACCTCCTGGATTTCTTCTCTCCATGTAATAACACCACCGTCATTCAGGCTTGAAACTTGAGTCTTTTTAACCTTCCTCTACTACATCTGTATATCCTCTCTCTCAACTCTGCCTATCAATTCTGTCTCATATTCATTTTTAGTACCCCTTTCATTCCATTCTCAAGTTTGCCCAAAGACAGACTTAATTTTTTCTTTCTTTCTTTTTTAAAGTACAACTCAGTTTTTAGTAAATCAAAGATTAGGTAACCATTAACACATTACAATTTTAGAAAATTTCCAGTACCTGAAAACTACCTCTCTTGCTTTCTGCAGTGTCTCCCCACTTAGCCACAAGTAACTTTATATCTCTATTGGTTTGTCTTTTCTGGACGTTCCATATTGATGGAATCATACAATACATGGTCTTTTGCATCCAACTTTCTTCACTTCCTTCACATGTTTTTGAGGTCCCTCAGGCCTTCCTTGGGCTTCCCTGCGGCTCAGCTGGTAAAAAAAAATCCTGCAATGTGGGAGACCTGGGTTCAATCCCTGGGTTGGGAAAATGCCCTGGAGAAGGGAACAGCTCCCGACTCCAGTATTCTGGCCTGGAGAATTCCATGGACTGTATTGTCCATGGGGTCACAAAGAGTCAGACAGAACTGAGTGAGCTTCACTTTCACTTTCTCTTTAGCCCCCCCACCCCCCCCACCCCGCTTCAAACTTTTCCTAACCTTTCAGACCCACCCTATTGAAATTAATTCTCCATCACTTCATATTCCAAAGATTTTTTGCTTTTCTTTCTGTTATACTAAACAGTCATTATTAGCTGTTGAAATGAAAATGCCAGTATATTTTTCACAAGTATTTGTGAATATCCACTTTGTGTAGGATATGGATACAGTGGTAAACAAAAACAAATATGCCCTCATGACGCTTCCAGTCTAGTGGAATGATAAGGAAATCATGTTTTAGACTGGCTTTGTCAATTTTGCTTATTTTTCTTATGGGAAGGCTCTACAGCTGGAATTTACAGTGTATTGATGATTTTATTAAATGCTTTAATGAATCTTTGGAAGAAATATGCCTTTTTTCCCCTTCCTGAGAATTGACCTCAGTGTTACTAACTGTTCAGTTTAGTGCTCCAATTTTAACATAGATTATAGTTTTGCCTCCCTACCAATTACCTTGAGACTTAAAAAGAGTAATTAGTTGTTTTCTGTAACACAGCATCTGACACTTAAGTTTCAGTAAACTCTAACCATTTTTAAGAATTTTTCCGGGAGGTGCTGCAGACCCAGGACCCAGAGCAGCTCAGAGGCAGTGAATAATAGCTCTTCCAGTCTGCAATAAAAAATGGCCTTCATTTAAAAAAAAAAAAGAAGGCCTTCAATAAAACTACATTGCAAAAACATGGGAAAGAAACAAAATGAAAAGAGTAAAAAAGTTGAAGAGGCAGAACCTGAAGAATTTGTAGTAGAAAAAGTACTGGACTGCCATGTAGTGAATGGGAAGGTGGAGTATTTCCTGAAGTGGAAGGGGTTTACAGATGCAGACAATATTTGGGAACCTGAGGGAAATTTTTAGATTGTCCCAAGTTAATTGAAGCATTTCTTAATTCTCAAAAAGCTGGTAAAGAAAACGATGAAACAAAAAGAAAATCTTTGTCTGACAGTGAATCTGATGATAGCAAATCAAAGAAGAAAAGAGATGCTGCTGATAAATCAAGAGATTTTGCCAGAGGTCTTGATCCAGAATGAATAATAGATGCCACGGACAGCAGTGGAGAATTAATGTTTCTCATGAAATGGAAAGATTCCAATGAGGCGGACTTGGTGCTGGCAAAAGAGGCAAATATGTAGTTCCTCAAATTTTAATTGTAATTTTTATGAAGAGAGACTAATTTGGCATTCTTGTCCAGAAGATGAGACTCAATAATTGTTTGAATTTATTATATATATACATTATATATATATTTATATACATAAAATGTGGGTCTTGGTTTTCTGATTTATTAGTGTGAAGAAATAACTACATTCTAATGAAAATCAGGTTTGATATGTTTGTTTTGAAATAGTATTGGGGAAGTTACATTGGGTGTTTTTTTTTTTTTTTTTTTGGTCTGTAGCACTAGTTGCTTTGAACAAATAAAAACTTTCTATAGTTGCTTCCTTCAGCAGAAAAGAATTTGATACCATAGTATATTATATCCTCAGCATTGGAGAACAGCTTTTCTAAATGTTGGGGGAAATCTCCATAGTCATTACCTAATCAAAATTTAGAATTTGCATTTCACTCATATATGCTTTGGGGCTTCCCTGGTAGCTCAGAGGTTAAAGGATCTGCCTGCAATGTGGGAGACCCAGGTTTGATCCCTCGGTCAGGAAGATCCCCTGGAGAAGGAAATGGCAACCCACTCCAGTATTCTTGCCTGGAGAATCCCATGGACGGAGGAGCCTGGTGGGCTACAATCCACGGGGTCGCAAAGAGCTGGACACGACTGAGCGATTTAACTTTCATATATGCCTAAGGATCATTCTGAGTTTTTTGTATGTGTATACATAAAATACATATGTAAGTTGTTTGGGAGCTTTTTTATTGTTGTTTTTATTTTGGTAAATATATTTAAACAACAGCTTTTCATAACCATGGATAAGCCCAAGTTTTTGGAATTCCATCATTTTGAGCAATATAAGAAATCCTTTCAACTTAAATTGAAAACTTAAGTCTTAACCTTTCAAATTAAATAGTTTTGTAATTAATTAGATAAATTAAGCAATTTAAATTGGATAATTTTTTAAAGCATCTCTATCAGAATCTGCATCCGTATCTGCATATAAATCTGCATATAAATGCAGAAGCCCTGGAAGGAAAATTTTTATCACTATCAACAACCTCCCCAGCCAAATGAAAAAAGTAGAAAAATTCTGGTATGTTTTAATTGGTGAAGCAAAACTTAGTTAAGTGGACATTTGATGGTTCCTTTTGGTGAACCATTGTTTTACAAGAAATTGAAGTCCCTATGCTATATTTAGGAAAGGTTGTGATATATGGGATGTCTCAGATTTGTTCATGGAAACCTAATCAAATAGTTTTAAAATATTGGCAATATACAGGAATATGTCCTATAGGAATATGCCCAGCGGGCATATGGGATCTTAACTAGGGATAGAAGCCAAGTCCCCTGAAGTGGAAGGGGACTACCAGGGAAGTCCCAAGAATGTGTAAACACACATCCTGTCCTATAGTGTTTCCTGCGCTTTAGCTAGTCCCAGTCTGTGAAGCGGATTCCCTGGTAGCTCAGTCAGTAAAGAATCTGCCCGAAGTGCAGGAGACCTGGGTTGGATCTCTGAGTCAGGAAGATCCCCTGGAGAAGGAAATAGCAGCCCAGTCCAGTATTCGTGCCTGAAAAATCCCATGGACAGAGGAGCCTGGTAAGCTACAGTCCATGGGGTCACAAGAGTTGGACACGACTGAATCGACTCAGCACAGGAATAAATGAGTGAACAAACTTTTCTAATCTACACTTGACCTGCATGTTTTTTTCAGGCTTTACTCCAACCCATTCTATACATGAAGGCTCAATTTTCTCAGTATTTCAGGTTACTAGTTGAGCAGAAGCTAAGAAAAATTTTGTAGTAATCAGAATGTTATTCAACTGTATATTATTTACTTTATTATAAATACTGGTGAACAGTGGTCAATAGTTTTATATTCCTAAAAAAAAAAAAAAAAAAGAATTTTTCCAGGGGAAAAAAAGTACATTCTTTCTCTATTTCTATCCATCAAGGAACCAAAAAAATTTTTTTAATGGATTGGCCAATTATTTCTCTATGCCTACATTCCTGATTATGTGAAAGTTGCTCAGTCGTGTCTGAGTCTTTGCGACCCCATAGTCTGTACAGTCCATGGATTTTCCAGGCCAGAATACTGGAGTGGGTAGCTATTCCTTTCTCCAGGGGATCTTCCCAACCCAGGGATTGAACCCAGGTCTCCCACATTGCAAGCAGAGTCTTTACCAGCTGAGCTACCAGGGAAGCCCTATAGTCCTGATTATCTGGGAGCATATTAGGAACATTGCTATCTTATAACTTGTAAGAACAGCAGAACAGAATTTATTTTCTACTTATTGGTAGGGTAGACGGGGAGCATTTGCTTACATCTTTTTCCTTCTCAAAAGGAAAGTAGTACTTTTACCACTTGATACCAGTTTGAGAGGTTCTATGTTGAAGAAAGTTTTATTTTCACCAGCTGTTTTCCTGGCAGAGTCCTGCTGGCAGTGTGAGGGCCAAACAACATGTCCATGCTTTCTCCCTCTTGTTTGCACGATGGGAACTCGGAAACCTGAGACCACTCTGCGATAAAAAATAAAACCATGTGTCTGTTGTCACATTATGTACTACAGGTTGTCAAAAAGGCAGACATGATCAACAAAAATATGACTCATCAAGTACAAGCTGAGAGGGACGCACTGGCCCTAAGCAAAAGTCCTTTCATTGTCCATTTGTACTATTCCCTGCAGTCAGCAAACAATGTCTACTTGGTAAGTAAGTGACATGTTTTTCTTCATTCAGGAACCACTGAACCCAGTGACTCAAGAATTACTGCCTTTGGGTTCAGAGTACCTAGGTTTGAATTCCAGCTGTTGGACGTACTAGCTTTATGACCTTGGCCAAGTTACCTTTCCTGTTCTGTTTGTTAGGGTTCTGCCTTTGGGTTCAGAGTACCTAGGTTTGAATTCCAGCTGTTGGACGTACTAGCTTTATGACCTTGGCCAAGTTACCTTTCCTGTTCTGTTTGTTAGGGTTCTTCAGGGAAAAAGAACAGTAGGGGTGTGTGTGTGTGTGTGTGTGTGTGTGTGTGTGTGTGTGTGTGTAGAAAGGGGGATTTACTTTAGGAATTGTCCTTCATGGTTATGGCAATGGCAAATCCAAAATCTCTGGGGTAGGCTGACAGGCTATAGATCCAGCGAAGAGTTGATGTTGCCACACAAGCCCAAAGGCAGTGAAGAGGCAGAACTCCCTCCTCTTTGGAGGAGAAAGAGATGACACCTCAACCTTTTTTCTCTCCAGGCCTTCAGCTGATTGCATAAGGCTGTCCCACTTGATGGAGGTTGAGATGTTTATCTCATCTAAAAAATACCTTAACAACAACATTTAGATTGGTGTTTGACCAAATATCTGGGTGCCGTGGCTTAGCCAATTTGATGCATAAAATGAACCGTCATGCCTCAGTTTTCTCATCTGCAAGGCGGGATAACAATAGTACCTACCTTAAAAGTTGTTATGAAATTCCGATAGGTTAATATAAACCTTGTAGAACAGTGTGTGGCACATAGTGCTAAAAATATTTCCTAAGTAAAGGATGCATAATAGAAATACTATATAAAGTTTGATGTGTAATAAGGAAAAGATATTAGGAAGTGGTGGATTGGGGATTTATGGACTTAGCAAGTTGCTTGCTTTTCACTGAACATGGCAGCTTACACTCTTTTAATTCTAATGAGGAATTTGGGTAGGGGACAGGAAGAGGTGAGGATGGCAGGTATTTTAACTTCCAAGTTCTAGAGGTTCATGAGGAAATAATCAGATGTTGTGAAAGACCACCCTATGCCCCACCCCTGGTCCCACCCCCTCTCCAGCAAATAAAAAGAAGAAAAATTATCCCAAATTAAAGGAGATATGATAACTAAATCCCATGCATGATCCTGGCCTGGGAATGAGGGATGAGGAGAGAGGCCGTCAGGAACAATATGGAATTATCAGAGAAATTTGAATACAGACTAAACAACAGGTAATAGCATTATTTTAGCATTAAATTCCATGCATTTTATTACACTGTAATTATAGACAATGTCCTTGATAAAGCATTTGTTTAAAAAAAAAGAATGTCCTTGTTAGTAGAAATGTGATGAAGAATTCAGTGGTACACTTTCATAATTTAAAAAATAAAAAAGAAAGAGAAAGAAAAAGAATTCTGTGGTGACATATCATGCCCTCTTCCACTTCATTCTAAAATTATTCAGCCAAAATTTAAAAGATTAATACCAGTTGCTAATGTTGCCTTATTTACAGTATTTAATTTGAATAAAAATACAAGCACATAATGTATTTATGTTAATGTTGTTAGTAACTGTTATGTTTATTATGTAACATAATCATGTTAATGATTAGCATAAATAAGTATTGTTATATTCATATATGTGTAGAGGAAGAAAGCAGATGTGGCAAAGTGCTAACGATGGGTGAAAATAGATGAAGAGTACATGAGAAATTATTCTACTCTTCATACCTTTTTCGTAAGGCTGAACAGTAAATTTTAGAAAGTGTATGGTAGCATGAACAAACCTGGTATTGATGTGTACTCAGTGACACCAAGAAAATGTATGTTACAGAACCATGCTAAAATGTATAATCATTAATGCTCAAATAAGATATTTTTAAGTAGTCATATTGGTTTTATTTTACAGTATTTCTATTTCGTTTTGACAGGTAATGGAATATCTCATTGGTGGAGATGTCAAGTCCCTTCTACATATCTATGGCTATTTTGATGAAGAGATGGCCGTGAAATATATATCTGAAGTTGCATTGGCTCTAGACTACCTTCATAGACATGGAATCATTCACAGGTAATGACTGACTTTTCTCCAAACTATTACTTAAGCACAAGTAATCAAATTATGTATTTACTATTTGAGTCTTAGATATTTGCATAGCCTCCAATATATGGGTTATCTTAAATTTAGTAGTAATTTGTGCGAATTTAGAAATTCCATCAACTCTTTCATCTCCCTGTGTGTGTGAATGTGTTGCTTTGTCCATGGATATCCCATTTTATTGTGGAGAATATTGACTCTTTTTTCCACTCGTTTAGCTGTACATCATGCAAAAGTACTATAGTTTATAATACCAGCTGATTTACAGTGTTTTGCTGTGTTCAAAGAAAGGTTAAGTGACTCTTTTTGGTTAAGGCTTAATCTCACAAAAAGAAGTAAATATGATTTGACCTGGTTTGAGGTTTGTTTTACCTAATGAAATTTATTTTAGTGGAATATCTAGTGAATAATGCCAAAGATAATCTAGCATTAAATAGTTAACTCTTGTATATTCAGATATTCAAATTTTAGTTTGCTTTTTTTTTTTAGTTTGCTTTTGAGAGTTCTTTTCTGTACTTTCAGAGCCACCAATGAGAGGCAATAAATAGGGTTTGATTCTTCTTTAACTTTCTGGTTTTTTTGCTTGAAATTCTAAAATCAACACTAGCTCTTTTTTAGTTATCTGCTATTTGTCTTTTTTATGTTCAGGGATTTGAAGCCAGACAATATGCTTATTTCTAATGAAGGTCATATTAAACTAACAGATTTTGGCCTTTCCAAAGTTACTTTAAATAGAGGTAAGAAACATAGCAAGTAAGTACCTTTTTAAAAGTCCAACACATTTTAGAAACTAACATTTCATTAGTTCATTTTCTGTTAATTAAAAATGACTAAAACGGCTTTTGTGTGTGTACCCAGCAGAAGAATTGCTGGATCATATAGACCAAATTCTATTTTTAATTTTTTGAGAAACTTCCACTGTATTTTTCATAGTGGTTGCACAGTTTTACATTTTACAGTTGACCAGCAGTGCACAAGAGTTCCAGTTTCTCCACATTCTTTCCAATACTTCCTATTTTGATTTTTGATAGTGGTCATCCTAATGGGTATAAGTTAATATTTCATTGTAGTTTGGATTTGCATTTTTCTATTGGTTACTTATGTTAAGTATCTTTTCATAAGCCTCTTGACAATTTGTATATCTTCTTTAGAGAAATGTCTATCCAAGACTTTTTTTCCATTATTTTAATTAGATTACTTGGATTTTTTTTGTTATTGAGTTGTAGTTGTTTCTATATTCTGTATATGAGCCCCTTATTAGATAAATAATTTACAGATGTTTCTCCCATTCTGTAGGTCTTTTCATTCTGTTGCTTGTTTCCTTTGATGTTCTGAAGTTGTGAGGTTTGATATAGTCCCATTTGTCTTATTTTGCCTTTTTCCTGTGCTTTCAAAGTCATAACCAAGAAATCATTGCTGTAGCATTTTTTTAATTTGTAAAATATTTTTTAAGAAGTTTATTGTAGTTCCTACAGTTTCATCAGTGTGAGGTATAAGTGAAATTTAAATTCAAACTTTCGACCTACATTTTAAAGTCATACACTACATACAAAGTGTTACACTTCTCTTACCTTTTTTTTTTACCATTTTTTTTTTTTACTATTTTTGATATCTAAAGAAAACCATACAATATTATTTGTGAGTTTTGAATCATTTTACAGTGTTAAACATTGAAAGCTGATAAAAATCTGCATTAGTTTCTATCTTGCTTACATAGTAAATTAACATAAGTGTTCCATAATTTGTATTAATTCCTTAAATTGATTCTTTTGTTGTTGTTTAGTCACTCAGATTCTGTTATTGAAATTTATTTTATATTCTTAGTACTTTAATTCCTTTCTTAGCTTTTTTTTTTTACCACCTCCTTTTCTAATGCTTTATTTACCAAGAATTATTTTGTTGGCAGTTAGGTAACACTTTTGTATTTATCTTTTTTAAATTTATTTTTATTTATTAATTTTTACCTTTTGGCCCCTTTCATCCATTTCTTCCAACCCTTAATCCCACCTCTGGCAACCACAAATCAATTCTCTGTATCTATGAGCTTGATTTTTTGTTTTGTTTTTTAAATTCTACATATAGAGAAAGCATATGATATTTGTCTTTCTCTATCTGGTTAGTTCTACATGTTTACAGTATGGCATGATGGTTTTCCTGGCTGTGTTTGTCTTGCACAAGCCAACTTTGTAGTTGATGTTAGCAATGTGGAAAGTGGGGCAAAGTCCAGAACAAATAATTGTTGACTTTAGTCAATGACAGTTGAAGTTTTTAAAGAATATCATTTTCTTTCTATACATAGATATCAACATGATGGATATTCTTACAACACCATCCATGGTGAAACCTAGACAGGATTATTCAAGAACCCCAGGACAAGTATTATCTCTCATCAGCTCTTTGGGATTTGTAAGTACTCGATAAGAAAAAAACTCACATGATAGACCCTAACATGATTGCCATTTACACCGATTCAAATATTAAGCATGTTGCATTACTTTGGCAGTTCATCTACCTAGATATCATAACAGTCTATGCATTTAGGTGGTGTTTTTGTGACAACAAATTGTAGCATTTGTTTTTGTCTTCCTCTTTGTCATAGCAGACACCAGTTGTAGAAGAAAATCGTGACTCTGCAAGTGTTCTTTCGACTCATGTATCTGAAACATCACCACTTTCTCAAGGACTAACTTGTCCTATGTCCATAGATCAAAAGGACATTACTCCTTATTCTAGCAAGCTACTAAAATCATGTGAGTATAAAAGAAAAGAAAGCATATTCCGTTAAATGTGCCCTTGAGGAACAAGTATTTTATAATTTTAAAATTTTGAGTTATCAATAATTTTTAAATGCAGACATTCAGATAGCCTGTGGACTTCCTCTGTTTTGTCATGTAAGTGCCATTTCTGACAGGGGTTGTTGTGGATCTTTGTTGTTGTTGGCTGCACTGCGTCTTCATTGTTACGCGTGGGCTTTCTCTAGTTGCAGTGAGCTGGGGTTACTCTGTAATTTCGGTGTGTGGGCTTCTCATTGTGGTGGCTTTTCTTGTTGCAGAGCACAGGCTCTAGAGCCCTCGCCTAGTTACTCCACAGCTTGTGGGACCTTCCTGGACCAGGGATAGAACTGGTATACCATCCATTGCAAGGTGGATTCCTAACCACTGGACCAGCAGGGAAGTCCCTGGTGGATCTTTACATCAACAAAATAAAATGTCAAGCTAATTTTTCAATTAGCTGCAACATTGTAATGATCATTGGGTGAATTTCACTGTACTGAGTCTATGGAAATCTTAGATGGAGAAGATATAGTAATACTCTGTGCCTTTATAAAATGATTTCCAAAAGCTTCTGAAATAAAATAGTTAAAGTCAAGATATAGTTTTAGTTATTACACAATAAAAGTCAAAAGTAAAGGAAGCAAGTGGAAAATCTGTATAGCACTTAACCTCACCCTCTAACTTATCAACAGTGGACAGTTTAGTTCTGTGCATGTGTGTTTTCTTCATCTTGGAAATGTGAATAATGATGCTGATGCTTTTGAACTGTGGTGTTGGAGAAGACTCTTAAGAGTCCCTTGGACTGCAAGGAGATCCAACCAGTCTGTCCTAAAGGAGATCAGTCTGGATGTTCATTGGTAGGACTGATGTTGAAGCTGAAACTCCAATACTTTGGCCATCTGATTCGAAGAGCTGACTCATTGGAAAAGACCCTGATGCTGGGAAAGACTGAGGGCAGGAGGAGAAGGGGACGACAGAGGATGAGATGGTTGGATGGCATCACTGACTCGATGGACATGGGTTTGGGTGGACTCCGGCAGTTGGTGATGGACAGGGAGGCCTGGCGTGCTGCAGTTCATGGGGTTGCAAAGAGTTGGACACAACTGAGCGACTGAACTGAACTGAACTGAAAGAGTAATTAGTGTTAGTTGTTTTCATAGATGCTACTTCGTTATGAATTTGGCCCTCAATTCTGTACATATCTTGGAGCAATGGATAGACCGAAAGGAAGAATTGCCTCCTTTTTACAAATGAGAACAAAAGAGTCTCATTTTAAGTTCAGGAGCAAAAAGTTTTAGCATCATTAGTTGTTTATAAGATACAGGAACTTGTGTTATAGAGATGGTGCTACTTTCTGGCACTGGCTCATGCTTAGCAAAGTCACTACTATTTCTTTTACCCAGTAGTATAAGAAAGTCCTTATGGATGTATATAATTCCACACTGGTAAGCATGTAAACCTCAACATTAAAATAAAGCTCTGGTTTTAATTAAATACAAATTGAATTGAGTAAGAGTAGTCACATTCCAGCCTTCTAGCACATCCGGATTTAGCCCATCAGTAATGAACCTTCATTGAGAAAAGTTTCAAATTGGATAATGGATATTCAAAATGAATTTCCCCCTAATTATAAATTTGCAAAACATAAAAATAAAAAAATAAATAAATTTGCTCCCTATCCTGATTTCTACTTTATAAATATTGAGAGTTTTGTCTGTTAACTTTCAGAAGCCATCCTTATAGATGAGATAATGTTTACATAGAAATAGTTCTGATATGAAATATTTACTTACTACTTAACCCAATTACCTGTAAAGATTCAGGATTTGCAGGGAAGTAGGAAAGAAGTGACATAAGCCTTGGTGTTTTCTCTTCCCCACAGGTCCCGAAATGGTTGCCTCCCACCCCCGGATGCCCGTGAAGTGTCTAACTTCCCACCTCCTCCAGTCTAGGAAGAGGCTGGCAACATCCAGCACCAGCAGTCCGTCCCATACCTTCATATCCAGCGTGGAATCCGAGTGCCACAGCAGTCCCAGATGGGAAAAGGATTGCCAGGTCAGAGTGCCACTCGCCTTACCCAGAACCAACTGAGTGTAATGATAGAAACACTTGACACCTTTTCATACAAGCTCTGTAAGGACATGAAAGTGTTATGTGCACAGCAGTGAAGATACTCTTCATTTTCCTATATATTCTGTCAAATTCTTTTGCAGTATTTCATTTCTCATTGAAATGTGAAATTATTCTTCTTCAGTATATGAGATTACAATTTTTTTTTTAATTAAAAAAAAATTATGTTTTGGTCATCCTGTGAGGCATGTGGGGGTCTTAGTTCCCCAACCAGGGATCAAACCCATGATCCCTATATTGGAAGCATGGAGTCTTAACCACTGGTTCACCAGGGAAGTCCTCTAATTTTTTAACTTTTGCAGTATATTAATAGTAAATGTTTGGCTTCTAGGCATCTAGATGGACTTTTTAAAAATTCCCTGCCCTAACATAGACATTAGATTGTTGAGTTTTTTAACCTTTGTCTTATTTTATAACTTATACTACCTCCTTCTATAACTGTTTACTGCCAGCTTATCATTTAATGGAATGGTAACTCTTCTGAATCAGAAATAACTTCTAGACCACAAAGGTTGATGCTGGTGTGTCTTTAAAAGTATCTATTCTAAGGAGATTGCTTGCCAAGTGAATAGATACTGAAAGTCATTTTACTTAATTTATGTATTCTGTTCTGGGCTTTTTAAAGCTATTAAAGCTGAGAGGAACTAAAAATATGATAGCCTTTCCTATATAGAATGTGGATAAAATGTTAGGTTAGAATTCTGTTAATACCCAAAGAAAAAAAATCTTTCCATTTGATAAAATAAATCGGACTCTATTTGCTCTTTAGTCTCAGTAATATGATTTTCTTCATTGCAGTGACTAAGTCCTAATCACTTGGCCACCAAGGACGTCCCCTAACTTTTTAAGTGTTTTCTCCTCCCTCTTAGGAAAGTGACGATGCAGCAGGCTCCACAATGATGAGTTGGAATACAGTTGAAAAGCCTTTATGCACAAAATCTGTAGATGCCATGGAGACCAAAAGTTTCAGTGAAAGGGATCTTGAGTTAGCTCTTTCTCCCATTCGTGGCAGCAGCGTCGTTCCTGCCACTGGAGACTCTTACGTTAACCATGCTAAAAAATGTTCTTCAGGGGAAGTTTCTTGGGAAGCAAGACAACTAGATGTAAATAGTATCAACGTGACTGCTGACACAAGCCAGTCTGGTCTCCATGAATCAAAACAGTGGGATGTGGATTCTGGTGGGATGACTGAAGAGCACCTTGGGAAAAGAAGTTGTAAAAGAATTTTTGAATTAGTTGACTCCAGTCCTCGTCAGGGAATTATACCAAATAAAAAAAGTCGCTTCGAGTATGAGCGTAATGATGAAACGACAGATCGTTATGCAGATCAAAGGACAGGCCTGACGGCGGAAGTCCAGGACCTTAAGCTGGTGGCATGCAGGGACCAGCGAGATGACTGTGTGGATACAGAGAGTGCGGGCGGTCCTTTTACTGATGAACACCAAACCCCAGAAAAATCGTCTGTCCCAATGACAGGAAAACACCTTATGTGTGAGCTGGATGACGATTGTGACAAGAATAGTAAGAAGGACTACTTAAGTTCTAGTTTCCTATGTTCTGATGGTGATAGAACTCCTAAAAGTATTCACATGGACTCTGATTCATCTTTTCCTGGAATTTCCGTCATGGAAAGTCCGTTAGGAGGGCAGTCTTTAGATCCAGATAAAAACATCAGAGAATCCTCTTTGGAAGAATCAAATATTGAAGACCTCCTTCCTGTATCACCCAGCTGCCAAGAAAGTACCTTGCCAAAAGGTGTTGAGTGTCCTACCATCCAAGACAGCAGCCAAAAAATGTTGGCTCCTTCTTCAGAGGCCTTAAAGCCATTAACCTCTAAGAGAAATGCTGTGGCATTTCGGAGTTTTAACAGTCACATTAATGCTTCCAGTAGCTCCGAACCTTCTAAGATGAGCGTCGCTTCTTTAGATGCGATGGATACTTCGTGTGCCTGTAGTGGGTCATATCCCATGGCTATCACCCCTACTCAGAAAGAAAGATCCTACATGCCATATCAGGTATGTTATCACTGGATACTCCATGCTGTATCAGGTATGTTACAACTTGCTAATGTGTGGTCCTTTAGATTTTAGAAAAATAAACTATGAAGGCCAGACATTTGCCTATCAGCTGGACTATATAATATTAATCAAATGGTTTTGTTCTGCTTATTGGAAATCTGTGGCTTTGTGGAGGTTTTAGTATAGAAAGGTGAAGCGGGTAGCAGTGTTTATCATTTTTAACTCCAATGCCTCCTTCATTTGTATTGTCCTGCATACTTTCACATATTTATATGTCACATGTTTACATATTTACAATCACATTTTCACTTGATCACAGTAATTCTGAGATACAAAATTAAAATCCATCTACTTTACTGCCTTCTAAGGACACATTTAGATGATCTCTTTTCTTTGTAGAAAAGAGTTGACAAATCAAATAAAATCTTTTTTTTTTGTCCCTAAACCGTTATCTTTTTAAACCCAAAGTTTCTTTTTTTTTCTTCCTTTGGAGAGACATCATAATATAGAAAGTGCACACCTGTAGGGTTACAAGACTTTAGTTTTCTATTTAGAGCTTACTGAGGGACTTAGAAATTGTTACCTTCAGAGCCTGTGTCTGCCACCTGTCCTGCTGGTCCAACAGAGTCCTTGTGAGACAACAAAATATCTTAAAAACATAAATGCCAGTTGGCACCAAAGGTTATTTGCATATAGTTCCAACTTATGCATTGTCCTAATAATTCAGTCATTTTTCAGCTGTAGCCTCCCTCCAGGACACTTTGTAAGCTTGTATTGATCCATCCTATCAAGAAATTTTTCTCATGGATTTTTTTCATTGTTTCTTGATATCCAGATCTTATTGAAATAACTGGTATTAGCTAAGCATTAGAATTGCATTATTATCATTAGGATTTTTTAAGTAAGACTTTTCATAATTAGTTCTGAGACCATTTCCAAAGCTGATCAAGGATTTCACTATTTTCCATGCCCAGCAGCCTAGCTTTTCTTTGGTGTAAGCATTTCTGTTCACTGTGAAAGGAATGAAGATATTTATTGTGCCTTAAACTCTTGAAATTAGCAGACCCCAAATCAGGTCAAATCAGAAACTCCATACCGAACTCCAAAGAGTGTGAGAAGAGGGGCAGCCCCAGTGGACGACGGTCGAATCCTGGGAACGCCGGACTACCTCGCGCCCGAGCTGCTGTTAGCCAGGGCCCATGGTAAGGCGCACACATCTGGAGTTTTTGAAGTATCTATCATTATAGTTTCTTTTGAGATAAAGTGTGTTAAATTTCTTTGGAACTTAGATTGCCTAAGGTAAAACAAGATGAGATGGTGCAGTACTCTTTTTCTCACATACATGGCATTTATTATAGTAAATAAAGACACGCAGCCATTCATCCTCAGCCTGCTGGTTCAGTCTCAGTGATCCAGAGAAGCCCCACCTTCCACCCCCTCCACTGTCTTTGTTCTAAATGTCTTCCCAGGGCTATTCTTGTCTGGTTTCGGGAATACAAAGTTAGTCCTACGCTTCTGTTCAGTCTGCAGATGCCTCTTCCTGTTCAGAGCCTGCACTCATTATACCCTCACCAGAAGGGTCCAGCCAGATAGGAACCATTCCTCAAAAAGCAACACAGAAATAAAAGTTCCTCTGGGCACTTAACTACTTTTTGGACATTGTCCCTTTTGCTAAGTCACAGCTTTGCTAGCTCATTTCCTATATTATCATTTATACTTTTTCTCAAATCAATACAGTATGAATGGAAACCTCAGATGGCAAGGTTTACTTGATAAAATCTTGCCATTCTTTTAGTGGGATATCTATTTATTATAGCTAGCTAGTGAAATGTTCTAAAATTTTTATTTCCCATAAAAGTAACTTGACACATAGTTATTAAAATAAATAATAGAGAGCAATTTATCATTTTAAAGACAACAGTAACAATTTCCTGCTCTCTAACTGCTAAAGGGACTTAGGAACCCCAGCCTGAGTTTCCATAGCTGCTTCTTTTAATAGATATGTTTGTTTCAGCTCTCTTATATTGGTAGTAAAATTACCTGAATTGTTGCTCCCAGAGGAGGCTGTTTTCTACTTGGGAAAAGCTCTCTTCTTCATCTTTTGTCTCTTGTGTCAGGCACCCTACCTGGTTTCTAGTTCAATAAATGACTTAAGAATGAACTTATAACTTTCAAACAATGTACCTAACTCCTGTTTTCTTACATGCAGGATTTCTGATTTCAGGTGAGTGAATTTCTCCATAAAGGAACATGGCAAAGCACACTTATCTGAACAGTCACAGTCTAACTAGATCACATTGCATGCAAAATTTTTCCTAATTTCAGCTCACTTATGAAATACAAAATGGGCTTCCCAGGTGGCACTAGTGGTAAAGAACCCAGCTGCGAGTGCAGGAGACTCACGTAAGAGACACAGGTTTGATCCCTGGGTTGGAAAGATCCTCTGGAGAAGGGCATGACAACCCACTCCAGTATTCTGGCCTGGAGAATCCCATGGACAGAGGAGCCTGGTGGCCTACAATCCATGGGGTCACAAAGACTCAGACATGACTGAAACAACTTAGCATGCACACAGCATGTACATGTTTATCCTTATCCCATGAAATACCAAAATGAAAAAAAAAAAAGAAATACCAAAATGAACTGTCTTCCGAGCAAGAAGACATCCAGAGACATTGCTCTTCTCTGTGAAAACAAGTGTCGGCATGTGGAATTTTTTTATTACAACTGAAGAAATAGGCTTGATAAAAATATTAAAATTAATAACTACAAAAGGGCTTGAATTTTCTAAGCCTTCCATTCCATTATTAGAAAATAGAGAGTAATTAGCATACAAATTACAGAAGTGGATTGTAAATTAGAAAGCCAGTTGTGTAAAACAACTCTGTTCTATAGTTCTATTTATTTTATAATTGATATGATTTATCACAATACGTGATCTTTTTAGACTCTGACTCAAATGTATGGGTATGTATGACATATCCATGGAGAAGTCTTGTATGTTTCTGACATGAGTACATTTTTGGCTGAGCTGGGGAAAGGGTCCTAATTTCTAATCTAAGTAAAATAAATTAAAATGCAGGGTTTTCCTGATTTCCTCTTACTTTCCTATATTTGGTTATCTAATCTGTTGAAATAATTCTTCCTCAGTGCTGCTTAAAAGGCCTACTAATGGAGGTGGTTTGTGTGTTTTTATAGTGATTACAATAGAGATAGAAGCCTGTAGACTGTTTGTACCTTGTGTTACATAGGAAAAATGGGATCATGTGGCTTGCAGATGGAAAGGTATTCTAAATGCATGCGATTATTTTTTCTAATGGAAGATTCCATATCGCTTTCCTATTGTTTTTTGTTTTGGAGGCTTTTTTGTTTGTTTGTTTTTGTGGTATTTGCTTAACCACAGTAATGAATTTTGTGAAACTGACTTTAAAGAGTTAATTTTCAGACAAATTTAGTTCTAGACTAGAATCACAGCTCTAAATTTATATTGAAGTTAATCGTTTTTGGACTGAAATTAACTTTTGCTTAGGAAACATTTTGTTCCTTTATAGACATAACTAAGCAAGAGTATAAACCAGATTATAAGGTCTTGTTTAAAATAAACATCTAAAAAAAAAAATCTGCAGGGAATGCCCTGGTGGTCTAGTGATAGGACTTGGTGCTTTCACTGACAAAGCCTGGGTTCAATCTCTGATTGGGGAACTAAGATCCCGCAAGCCTCATGACATAGCCCAAAAAATAAAAATAAAAAAAATCTTTGTATAGAAATTATGCTTTCACTGAAGGTTTTATTTAGAAGTCAGTTTTACCTACTTATTAAGACTTATCTTCTAATTCCCTCCTCAAGCTATAGTCTAAATGTTTTTTTTGTTAAACTAATTTGTTCCCCTCTGTCCTTGAAAAGAGTAAAGCGACATTAAAACACCCTGTAAGGCAGGCTTCCCTAGTCACGAGGTTATCCTCCAGTTAGCATTAATATTACTACCTCATCTCCTTCCTTTGTGAAACAAGTAGATACAGAATCATCCGAATGTTATTATTTCCTGATTTGAAACTGAGGAGTACTCTAATTTTAAAGAATAATTTTTAGATTAAATGCATTCCTTCATTGTGTTTTAGGATTTAGCATAAAAGTAAGTCTCCAGAATATTGGAAGTAATTAATAAATGGCAAAAATAACTTTAACTTTTTTTTAATAGCCACGTTAATTGTTAATCTAACCTCTATATTCAGAACTTCCCTGGAAGTCCAGGGGTTAAAACTCTGCACTTCCAAGTGCAGGGGGTACAGGTTCAATCCTTAGTTGGGGAACTAGGATACAGGTTGGTATGGCAAAAAGTTTTTTAAATAAATAAAAATAATAAAACTGTTATTTTCCAAGAAAATAATTACCACACTGCCTAAAGGAAGGTAATTTGGGGTTTTGTACCTTAAAGAGCCAGAGGAAAACCTTAGGAAGTAAGTCTTTGGGCCTTCATTGTGCCCAGATAAAAACATATTAATGTTTTAGTTGATCAAACATTTGTAGAAAATGCTTTCAAGTTCAGCCGCTTCCTCTTAAATTCCAGGTCCTGCAGTAGACTGGTGGGCCCTTGGAGTTTGCTTGTTTGAATTTCTAACAGGAATTCCCCCTTTCAATGATGAAACACCACAGCAAGTATTCCAGAATATTCTGAAAAGAGGTGATTCTTTTTCTCCTATCTATGAAGATAGATTCATTTATCTCATTTATCTCTCTGTATTGTTCCTTTGACCAATGATGAACATGTTAATTTGTATTTGTAGATATCCCTTGGCCTGAAGGTGAAGAAAAGTTATCTGATAATGCTCAAAGTGCTGTGGGCATACTCTTAACCATTGATGATACAAAGAGAGCAGGAATGAAAGGTAAGGTTTGGGGTTAGTCACCAAATCTTGGTGACTTTTACCCTTGATTTGCTTCAGGGATGAATGTTAATAATATCAAGTTCTAATATAATACTACTGATAATCTGACAGCTAAACTCAGTTGGTTTTAAACTTTCAGTTTATTTTTGCCCTCTCAGTATTCATTGATATATTTGTCCTTATTCAGAACATTAAAATTCAGTGCAATCAGGTTGCAGTCTTAAATTTTATTACTCTCAAGCAGATTCTCAAAACAATCTCATCTTGTCAATGTCTTTAAGTTTTTCGGAGCCTGATAAAGTTAACCATCAACCAATATAGGAAATTCTTTTAGTCAAAACTTCCTGTTTTATGATTTCTTACTGCTTCATTTCTGACATCATTATTGATTGACAAGTATTTTTATGTACTCTGGCTCCTTGTTGCTTATCTTCACAGCTAAGATGCCTCAAAGAAGACAAAATGGGCTCATCATGACCCATTCAAAGCTTTTTTCCCATGCTGAAAACTCAAATTAATTTTAAACTCCAATTTTGAAACTCCAGTAAATCTCATTAGCAGTTGCCTTAAAATTCTTTTTGTCACATGGTATAGATAGAGACAGCTAAGCACTGATGTCTCAAAATACACTTCCATGTGAAGTAAGGTATATTAAGAAAATGGACTTTAGTCGTATGTCATTTGTATCAACTTCTAGTTTTCCCTCTAATCAGATCAACAAACCCTATAGAGTAACTTCTAGGTGTCACTGTTGTTATTTGAGGCACTGGAGGTAACCTAGGGATGAACCAGACTAAAACTCCTGTCCTTAAGTTCTAGAACTACATTCTAGCGGAAAGACAAAAAGTAGACAGATACAATCATAACGCCATCCAGTAGTAACTACACAAAGAGAGAAAGCAGAGAGGGTACAAAGTGAAGGCAAGAGATGTATTTTTTAGACTGAATGGTCATGAAGATTTCTGACAAGTGGAATTTGAGCAAAAACCAGTGTAAAGTGAGGATGCAGACATTTGAAAACTTAGCTCTAAAAATTACTTTAAGGGACTTCCCTGGTGGTCCAGTGGTTAAGACTCCAAGCTTCCACTATAGGGGCCATGGGTTCAGTCCCTGGTCGGGGAACTATGATCCTACATGCCACATAGTGTGACCAAAAAACAGTAATAATGAAATTAAAAATTGCTTTAAAGCAACAGTTCTCCTCTGAAATGATTTTGCTCCCCAGAGGACACTTGGTGTTGTCTGGAAACATTTCTGGGTTGTCACAGCAGTTGGGGTCATCTAGTAGGTAGAGGCCACGGATTCACTCAGCATTCTACCATGCTCAAGACAGTCCCTACGACAGAAAATTATCAAATGTCAATCATAACAAAATTTTGAAACCGTTGTTTAGGAAATGGCTGCACTGCACTGTAATTTGCTTAGTACATTCTTACCAGACCTCAGGTACTGTTCATTTGTTCAATGAATAGTTTACCTAGTGAAGCAGACAGGGTTATTCTTCAGTTTAGTTACTCTTAACCTAGATTAGAATTCTTTGCAGATGCAGTTTAAATAAAGAGATACAATGAGAGAATCATGAAACATCATATCACATCCAGATATCCCAGTTCCAGTTACTACTACAAGTAACTCTAAAGTAACCAATGCTCAGTTATTTATTTTGAACAATTGAGACAAATTCTCTAAATGTGAATTACTTTTGCTATTCTATCCTTTTTCCTACCAGTCTTTTAGTTTATGGTAAATCCAACATATACACGTAACTGTTTTTCCAACCCACTAGCCGCAACACAGACATACAATTCCCTACTGTCTGCGTAGTCATCTTCTGATATTTTCCTTAAATTTGATAGCTCTTTTGGTTTGCATACTGCCTTAATTGACACTTTTTTTTTTTTGCCATCTTTACTACTGCCTGATGAAGTGAATAGTTGAGGAGAGGGGAGCTGTGTCTACCAACTGGATACCTGTGTGACCAAAAAAGCAAACTCTTATTTTAGTCAACAGAAGAAAAATGTAGTGAAGATGTGATTTTGTAAGTGGAAGCCATAGACTTGGATGTAGCCATACTGCTGGGTGGCCGGTGTGTTGTAGAGATGCAAGTTAGTGAAATCAAAGAACCGGGAAGAGAAAGAATGTGTCAGAAGTGTCATCGGTGTGTATGTTGAAATTAGCAGGAAGGATAAGGATGGAGCACAGGACTGGAGGATGAGCTTCCTGCTGAAGTTATGTAGGCGGGCGATGCTGAGCTCCAAGCAGTCAGCAAGGCCTTGAGATAAGAAGTGGGGCATTAATCACTTAAGATCAGTGATGGGGGAACAGGAAGTAGGCCAGGCTCCCTTATCTCATGAAGTCTGGGATTCTTCCTGCAGGTACAGGCAATGAGAAAGATAGGCTCCTGTTAAGGCCAGTCATCATTCACTCTTTGGACCGATTCAGACAAGGCACCTGTCGTATGCCTGGTGGTACACAGAATAACACAGCGTGTGCTGTTGGGAACTGTGTGGTTGAAGATAGGGATGTTTTTAAAATGTCTGTGAAATGGTCATAGTAAACCAGGGCAAGGTCCCTGTGAAACAGTCTCTCCTTGATGCCTGTAAAATATTGGGTTACCAAGAAGTTCATTTGGGTCTTTCATACCATCTGATGGTAAGCCCGAATGAACTTTTTGGCCAACCCAATAGTACTTAGTTAATGGTGTCATAATATTGTTTTGTTTGATATTTTTTCCCAAGAGCTGAAACATCATCCTCTCTTCAGTGGTGTGGATTGGGAAAATCTACAGCATCAAAAAATGCCATTCATACCCCAACCAGATGACGAGACAGATACATCTTATTTTGAAGCCAGGAATAATGCTCAGCACCTGACTGTATCTGGATTTAGCCTTTAGCTTTAATCTGTTAAATTTTTCCCTTTAATCTAACCTTGCCTTATAGCATGAGCTAACATAATTAATAATTACATACACCTTAGTACTAGATTGATGTAAGCAGGAAAAATCATTATTTTACCTGGATCAGCGAGCTTTTCATGTATGTTATAGCTTCCACAGCATTAAAAAGGCTATCAAGGATGTAATCAGTAATTTATCTTAGTCGCAGAGTTGTAAATAGATCTTCAAAGCTTTTTTCATCTTATTTATTTTGTTATTGCACTTTATAAAAATTAATGCTTCAGTAAAACTATTAGAAACATGACCTCTTTAGAGAAAGAGTAAGCCTCGAGCTTGATTTTCTTTCTCATCTGTTCATGTCGGTCTACCATTCATTTGGTGTTAACACAACAAAAACATTATAGTTTTATTTTATTGTAATTTATCTGTACTTGATTGCCTGCAAAAGCAATAGTCTTGAGGGCAATCGTGTAAAGCTATCATTGTGGCCTCAAAAATGCAACTAGAAAATTCCTTTACTCAGTACTATAACTCCTTTTGGGAATGAGAAATAAAAGGATTAGGGTTTTGCCTCACTTTGCTTTGAATATAGTTTTGTTGCATTGGCTGCTTCTGGTGCTTTCTCTACAATACAGATTACTTTAAAATAGTAGTAGAAAGCTTAGGTGAGATATACTGTAGCAATTTTAACAAAAAACGTGATGGTTTACATTTCTAAATATTTAAAACATATGCAGCATTACCAGAGTAGCCTGATTCTTTTTTAAAAAAATAACTTAACTTTCACTTAATAAATATAATTGTAACATACTTTGATACATTCTCTGTCAATATCACTCTTTTCAATACAGATACAGCTTCACAAGTCATATCTTAAATTCACCGAGGTTTTCTGCATACTTACCCACCAAAAGAGAAAAATTCAAATTTAAATGTACCATGTGTAAATTTTCTGTTAATATATTAAATACTGTTGCTCATTTTGCAAAATGGCTTGAGTTTTTTTACTTTCTGTCAGCATCCTGTTATTAATGTAGTTGACAAAGATTAAAACTATTTAAAACTGTTGCAGTGAAAGAGACACTGTAATAATCGGTGCCATGTAATTGAATCCATGATTCAACGGTTTTACTGAGCTTGTTCTAGTAATGACTACTCAAGTTTAATCCACCTAACTGTCACCTTTTCTAACAATAATATGTTCAAAATACAGTTGTTAAAACTTTGTTTAATGTAAATTACATCTTTCCCTTAAATTAGGTAAAAGCTAAGATTATCCTCCCACGGAATTTTCTTTTTTTTTTCTCCCATGGAATTTTCAAGTAGCAGAAAAAACAGTGGTTTTGGAATCAAGCACAAATGGTTTAAACCACTGCTCTGTCACAGTAAAAAGCTGTAGGTGGGTTAAACTCTGATCATCTACCTGTGTTGTGTAGAAAGGAGCTTCCCAGGACACCAGTCTTACCGGGAATTTGAAACATTACTGAAAGATCAGGGGAGATGTGCAGTGAACCTGTTTCCAATGCAGGAGAGGTGCCCGTAAGTGGAAAAGTTAAGAAAAGTTTGCTGTTACAGCCCTAGCAGGTGCAGCAATGGCCACCTGGAACTCTGTATCCTGTAATGGTGTCTGCTGGGACCAAGTTATTTATTATCTAAACTTAAACCTTTGGGGATTCCCAGTGGCTCAGTGGTAAAGAATCTGCCTGCAATGCAGGAGCTACAGGAGACACAGGTTCTATCCCTGGGTCAGGAAGATCCCCTGGAGAACGGCATGGCATCCCACTCCAGTATTCTTGCCTGGAGAATCCCATGGACAGAGGATACTGGTGGGCTACAGTCCATGGGGTCACAAAGAGTCAGACATGACTGAAGTGACTTAGCACACACGCAAACCTTTAAGACATCTGTGAAGATGTTCTGGGTTCAGGTACTCAGTAAGAAAAAACTTGAGACAGAACAAGAATGAAAAAAAAATGGAAGTGTTTTGGCAACTGTGTGGATATGTGTGTCTTTAAAGAACACAGATGGCTCTCCCATTAGTAATCTGTGCATCCATTACTATGTATAATTTTTATTAATTAAAAATAATTTTCTCCCCACTTCTACTAATTGTTAAACAAATACAGAAAATGCATTTACTTTGGTGTACCTTTGTCAGAATCAAATAACACGAAGTACATAAATAGCAAGTACGGATTCAAATAACACGTTAAGCACATTAAATGGTGTTTAATAAATGATCGCTATGGCCCTAAGTACCCTACTACTCAGAATATTTATCTTAATTTGGGGTTTGGGAAATAGTTGCTGTATAAAACTCTGTTATTATTCTCCAAAACATCTTGAAGACCATTTTCAGGTCTGATCACTCTTATTTGTCAGGAAGAACCATCTTATTTTTAACCAGTTACAAACAGACTCAGAGTCCAAAAGACTGTGCAAATATTTACCATTTCCACCTGGCCTCCTTTCAGTTAATACCATCCCAGCCGTGTGTGGGTCATTCTTCTAACTGTGGAAAGTGGATGGGTCAGGGCAACGTTTAAAGGAGGGAGACTGAATAGAAGGCTATTGGACCAGCCCATCTGGATTCAAGACAATTTTAGAGGTAGAATCAACAAGACTTACTGATGGATGGGATGAGAAGGGTGAAAGAATAGGAGTTCTGAACTTGTTTGTTACACAGCAGCATTGTAACCAATACCTTTCTTGTACATACCAAGTTATATAACACAGTAACATTTCAGACACTAGAAAAAACATACTGCAAGCATCCAAAGAGAAAGAAAAAAACTGGTAAGAGATAATAGAAGACACATACATTGGTCTGTGCCTCTATATTCCCAGCACAGAGTTCCTAAAACCTTTTAATCTCCCAAGTGATAAGAGCACCAGGAGCATTTTTTTGTTGTTGTACTCAAATTTGATCTTTGGCCCTGATTCCTCACCCAGGGCTCCTAGATCCCCTGGGATTTCCTGGGTGATAGCAGTGCCTTTTGTTCTAATGAAGTGACTCTGGGTGGGCTTCCGAATGGGGGGAGCAGAGGGTGGGGGGAGGGTGGTCACCAGAAAGACCCAGCCATGATTAGAAGCTTGGAATTTTCTGGGACTTCCCTGGAAGTCCAGTGGTTAAGACTCTGAGCTTCCACTGCAGAGGACAAGGTTTTAATCCTTGGTTGGGGAACTAAGATACTGCACACAGAGCAGCTCTCTGAACCCTGTACTTGGGGGGATTCTGATAGACAGGGAGGCCTGGCATGCTGCAGTTCATGGGGTCGCAAAAAGAGTCAGACTGAGCGACTGAACTGAACTGATGGAGGCTTAGTCACATAGGCAATATCAAACATTAACTCCCTTTCTCTAGAGAACGTAATTTTCTGCCCCACCCTGAATTTTCATTGATTAACACAAGGAGGCACTGGGAGAATGGTGCCCCTAGAGAGAAGCATGGAAGCTCCACACCACTTCCTGCATCCCTTCCATCTACAGAGTTCATCTGTATCTTTTACCACATTCTTAGGAAACAAAGTGATAAACAGTAAACTATTTACACATGAGCTGGGACTGCAAAGGGAGGGGGAAGAAATGAAATCTTCCATTTTCAGTAGGTGGAAGTAAACAGATAATTCCCCAAACAGAAGTATCAAAAAGTAGCAGTTCACACATTTAGAACCTTGGAACTAAGTTCCAAACAGCCAAAAGTGCAGAAAGTAGTTGCCTCCAGAGCAGAAATCAATGACACTTTTTAAGGGAAGGAATAGTAACCAGAGGATAATGAAAAGACTAGCTCTTGTTAAAAAGGAAAAAAAAAAATTTGGTACATTTGCACCAAAATTACCAGTGTCTATCTCTGCAAAAGGGATTTGGATTTTTATGTAATATAGTGAAATAATAACCCAATTATTGATACAATATATTGATACATAAGATCTTATGGAAAAACTCAAATGAACTTTTTGGCCAACCCAGTATTACTATCATTGTGGTAGCTATCAGTTTAAAAGCATTTACTATATCCCGAACTATATCTTATCTATGTACTTTATACATACATTAACCGTATGAGATATTTTCATCCACATCGTATAGCTAAGGAAGCTGAAACACAAGGTAAGGAACTTTCCATGACTGCGCAGAATTTGAACCCAGACAGTCTGGCTTCAGGGCCTGTGCTCAGTCCTGACAATCCAAGTCATCTACACTAGTCAGGACTCTGGTTCCAAGTATCAGAAACCTAACTTAAACTGTCTTAAGTAAGAAGGCAAATTTATTAACCCATGTAAACATAGGGATAGGGTTTTCAGAGTTAACTGGATTAAAGGACTTGAACTCAATGTTTTCTGACCCTTGTCTAAGTTCCTACGTCTAGATGTTAGCTTATTTAAGCCTTATTTAAATAAGGCTTTTTTTTTTCTTTTTGATTTAAAATAAGGCTTATTTAGATGTTGGTTATTTAAGGCTCCTCCAAGTGGCAAGATATACATCCACAGTATTTCTCAGTTATAACCTTACAGGCTGTAACTTAAAGAGAATGCAACAATGAGACAACCACTACACACCTATCAGAACTGCTAAAATCCAAAACACCAACGCCCAGTGCTGGCAAAGATGTGGAGCAACAGGAACTCCCACTCACTACTGGTGGGAAGGCAAAAATAGTACAGCCACTTTGGAAGACAGTAAAGTGAAAGTCAGTCATTTTGCAACCCCAGGGACTGCAGCCGCCGGGCTCTTCTGTTCATGGAATTTTCCAGGCAAGAATACTAGAGTGGGTTGCCATTTCCTACTCCATCTGGAAGACAGTTTGATGGTTTCTTACAAAATTAAGGGTAACTACCATGCAATCCAGCAATGCTCTTTAGTATTTACCCAAGTGAGTTGAAAACTTATGAGCACACAAAAACCTACTCAGAGATATTGACAGCAGCTTTATTCATGATTATTACAATTTGAAAGCAACCAAGATGTCCTTCAGTACGTGAATAAATAAACTGGTA